GAAATATTGAATATTTCTATTTTTTTTAGATGGAACTCCATGATTCTTCGCATCAAATTTTCAGTATTAAGAAAGAAATATTAATTCACGTAAGACTTTAAGTATCAGGAAATAAGTGTCATTTGTTTCATTGAAATATTCAATATTTTTTATAGATGGAACTGCATGATTCTTTGCATCAAATTTTCAGTATTAAAACAAAAACAGGAAACTATGCAAGACCTCAAGTATAAAGAATTAAATGACAGATGTTTCATTGAAATATTGAATATTTCTATTTTTCATAGATGAAACTGTATGATTTTTTTCATCAAATTTTCAGTGTTAAAATAAAACATCAAACTACGTAAGACTTCAAGTATAATGAATTAAATGGCAGATGTTTTATTGAAATATTGAATATTTCTATTTTTCATAGACAGAACTGTATGATTTTTTGCATCAAATTTTCAATATTAAAACGGAAATAGCAAACTACATAAGACTTTTAAATACGAAGAATTAAATGGCAGGTGTTTCATTGAAATATTGAATATTTCTATTTTTCATAGATGAAACTATGTATATGATTCTTTGTATCAAATTTTCAGTATTAAAACAAAAACAGGAAACTATGCAAGACTTCAAGTATAAAGAATTAAATGACAGATGTTTCATTGAAATATTGAATATTTCTATTTTTCATAGATGAAACTGTATGATTCTTTTCATCAAATTTTCAGTGTTAAAAAAAAACATCAAACTACGTAAGACTTCAAGTATAATGAATTAAATGGCAGATGTTTTATTGAAATACTGAATATTTCTATTTATCATAGATGAAACTATGTATATGATTCTTTGCATCAAATTTTCAGTATTAAAACAAAAACAGGAAACTATGCAAGACTTCTAGTATAAAGAATTAAATGACAGATGTTTCATTGAAATATTGAATATTTCTATTTTTCATAGACAGAACTGTATGATTTTTTTCATCAAATTTTCAGTGTTAAAATAAAACATCAAACTACGTAAGACTTTAAATATAAATAATTAAATGGCAGATGTTCCATTAAAATATTGAATATTTCTATTTTGTCATAGATGGAATTTTCAGTGTTAAAAAAGAAACGGCAAGCTACATAAGACTTTAAATACGAAAAATTAGATAACCAATACCTAATTGAAATATCGACTTGTTCTATTTCTCACAGATAGAACTGTATGATCCTTTGCATCAAATTTTCTGCATTAAAAGAAAACCAGCGAATTACATAAGGCTTTAAATATAAAGAATCCAACGTGTAATCAGTATTTCCAACATTTGCATAAACGTGTCCGGAGTTTAATCAGAAATCGTTAATGGGATAGTATTTTGCCGGAGTTGGTTTCTGGAGGATCGTTTGGTACCTGGACACGCAACCTGTCTTTATATCGGTCGCTCATTTTCCGGCCGCCCGGAGCTATTCTGTAAACGAGAACAGAGTGTCTTTAGTTCGTCGGCGAATGCGTGCGCGGCTTAGTCCTTTGCCCTCGGAACGTTGCCAAAGCCTGGCATTAATCTTGTTCTTATTCGCGCAAAAGACTTTCACGGAGGGTCGAGCAACTTCCCCCTACCGTGAGAGCTTTCCTACGGGAACAACCGTTCCAGGCGAGCGGAACGTCGGTTGTAAAGCATAGTTTTCTTGTATACCTTCGAGCGAGTTGGATATTTTCGTCGTCTATAGACTATAAGGTTTCCATCTTCTCCTCTTCGGTTCCTTCCCTTACGCTTTCCTCCATTATCCGCCTAGATGGGAATAAACCCGTAGCGGCAAAGGGGACCACCCCCCATCCCGCGAAACGTCATTTTTAATACGGAAGAGACTTTAACGCTTTTTATCGAAACTCGCTACTTTTAATAAGGATTCAACAACATCAACGAACGACCACCGTTTGCGAAGACGGGGAACTCTGAATCGAAGAATGTAATCATAAATAGAAAGAGTTAACATAAAGTCGCAAGAATCGGATACCAAACGCTTGAGATTGATGGGAAATAAATTGGAAGGACGATCTAACCACTGTGAAGTTTTCAGAGGAAAAGGGGTGAGAAATCTAAAAAATAACTGATTAATAGTTATGACGCAGGAAACAAACAAGACAAATATCCATAGAAAACTGAACTATAATTTTTGTGCAATTTAATTCAGTGGGAAAACATCGCTGGAAAGCGACTGGCGTCCCCATGATACGAATTCACAAATTTTAATAAGGATGTATATTCAACAATAACAACGAACGACCACCGTTTGCGAAGACGGGGAACTCTGTATCGAAGAATATAATCACAAATAGAAAGATTTAACATGGATGGAAAGAAGAATAGAAAATAAAATCGTACACCAAAAACTTGACGATCTTTGTGAATTTTTCAGAGGAAAAGGGGAGAGAAATCTAAAAAATAACTGATTAGCAGGAAAACGTCGCTGGAAAGCGATAGGCGTACCCGTGGTACGAATTCACAAATTTCAATGGACGTGGTAAGCCCCGAATCGAAGAAGAACCGCGTATAACGATGTTTAAAACAGCGAGGAAGAAAAAATATTACCAGCACTCGTCGATAGATTTGCGGGTCGAGTACGAGTAATTTGGTATTTCGCAGACATTTCAATTACAAAAGCACTCGAGGCTGTCCCTTCCGCCCTATACTAAATCGTTTAGCGAGATGAGCAGCCAAACTGCTTCATACTTTCCCCATAACTTTCTCCGCTACACTCTGACATTTGTGCAGACTCCATTATATAGTCGTACTCGTAATTCGGTTTGAGCAACGTAACGCAGGGAGGGGGATAAGAGGACGTAGACGAAGAGAATCATGAGAGAAAGGGGGAAGAAATGGCTCCTTTACGGCGAGACCCTCGTTCTTCCTTAGTCACCTTAGTTTATTTAGTTTTCCGCAGGTACGACGATCGATTTTCTCGATTTTCGTCCTCGTATCATGCACAGCGGAGGCTTGTTCCTCCTCCGTGTCTCCATATTCCCTTTTTCTTCGTTACTCTTGCTACTAGCTAGTCCCGTTTTTCTTACTGATCTCCGTGTTGGTATGACACAGACGTCTTCATTGGTTTGTTCTAGTTCGTCGTCGATGATAATACACGAATATATCACTACAGAGAAGGTATAGAACAGACTGTGCGTCTTATGAAAGAAAAACATCGATCTGGTGAAAAACCAGTGATTTTCTTCGTTTAAAGAGAATCTTGAGAACTATGGCGAATTGAACTACTAAAATCGGTGAAATTAACAAACCTAGAGAAGAGAAACTCTTTCTTCCCTCACTTGGTGTACAAGGTTGCTATTGTTAGCCTAAGAGAGATGTCTTTCGTCGACGTTCCCTCGATGGATCCGGAAGCAAACATAGAAATATGTCTGGAACATATTCTGGAACTAAAAACAAAGACGAGTTAGTTTGGGAAAACGAAATCAATAGTTTAGAATATCTCTGCGCGATGGTCAGCCGCTGTATCTACTGCGCCCTACATCCCCACAGACTATTCCGTTCGAAACGCAAGAAATTTAGATTGCAATGTAAAATAATTATTTAATGAATGACACGTAAATGCAAATCTTATTCTAAGTCATTCTCGTCTATGGTAATAGAGAGTCTTATACGAAATTATGACAAAGCAATATGATTATAAACAACATGAAAATAAAATTTCTCAAAGGAATATAAAAATTCTCGAAATAAACTGAACAGAAAACAAAAAATTATTGAATGCACATAAAAATTCCTAAAATAAAGTGAACAGAAAACAAAAAATTATTGAATGGACATAAAAATTCCTAAAATAAAGTGAAAATAAAACTAACATTCACATTAACGTAATGAAATAAAATAAATCGTCAATTACAGGAAGATAAATCACGACAAAACAAAAAATTATTGAATGGGCATAAAAATTCCTAAAATAAAGTGAAAATAAAACTAACATTCACATTAACGTAATGAAATAAAGTAAATCGTCAATTACAGGAAGATGAATCACAAGAAAACAAAAAATTATTGTATGGACATAAAAATTCCTAAAATAAAGTGAAAATAAAGCCAACATTCACATGAACGCAATGAAATAAAGTAAATCGTCAGTTACAGGAAGATGAATCACGACAGGACATAAATTGTCAATGGACATTATGCGCTCGCACATCGACAATTAATTTCGTGGCCGCACAATTGAGTTTGTGTTTTAGGCAAAATAACGTTACGTATTATTAAGCATCATTATAGCTATTGCCTAATATAAATTCTAAATAACATGGACTAATAATATGATTTTGTATAATATGGACAGACGAGTGTTTCGGACAAAATAATATTTACATTGCACGCGCGTTAAGAAACCCCCATTTTGCAGAAATAGTCGTTTTTTTTTTGTGCCACGGCCGCTGCCAGGATATTGTTTCCAACTTCCCTCGAAATCTGCCAATATTAACTCCAGAACTTTTCTTGTTACTGCGTTTCTTATTTCGTCTGGTCAGCTGTTGCGAAGATTTATATCCCAGATTGTAAACAAGTTGACGAAAGTTAGTTCGCGCCTTGCCAATATCGCTTACTACAATTTCTCCATTTTCCTGCCCCTCCTCCGTTTACTTTCGAAGACTATAATATCCCTGGCATCGATAGGTGGGAAATGAAGGATGGAAGAGGCATTAGAACACGATTCGAGGGTCCCAGAGCATAGGGGCATACAAAAAACTCCGCCATTCCACATTAGTGGACAAAAATTACAAGACACCCCAGAGTTGGGTGAATCTTAGTTTCGAACGTGGAACAAAATCTGTAAATTCAAAAATTAGAGGACTGCCAACAACTGGTTTACAAACGAATCTATAATATTCCTCCATTATTTGGAAATAAAATTATTTAATAACCTTGAATCATAAGATGATAAAAAAAAATTTGATAATTCTGATTGTTTTGTTTTATTCGCCAAAGTGTTTTGTCCGTAAATGATTGTTTGTTCGTGTTGTAGGTCCACCGGGCCCAGCCGGAAAGAGGGGGAAGAGGGGAAAGAAGGGCGACTTAGGCCCCCAGGTGAGTAGATCCGTTTCTTTTCCCGTGCACCAAGAAATCCTTCCTCCCGTAGTGCACCCGATATGCCTGCACGGTACAGTTCACGTATTTTAGAGTGCAGTTTCGAGCATGACATATTCGCTAACTGTATATATGAACAATCTCTTCGAATTCGTAACAACAGACACACGCTGTGGCTGTTTCTAATCGAACGCACATCCGCGATGGGACAACAAAGGATCGGATTCGCGGCGTTTATATCAGATTGCAAATGGGTCGAAAACCAAGCTCGTCGAAACAACCATGATCATTCCATTCGTCAACGTCGCAATATCGATGTTGGCTCGGAAAGCGAATTTTTCACCTCGCTTTCGAAAATAATTCCAGAACGAGTTTTTCGGGACTTTTTGTTAGGAAAAATCTTTTTACATTTTTACATTGTCACTTTATACATTTAAAAAAGGATTATATTTGGAAGATCGAAGAGAAAATAATAAAGATACCCTAAAACAGAGTCGTTTCCATTTCGTATATTGTTTTCAGCCAACGTATCAGAATTCTTTTTTATTCCCCGTTGTAGTTGTAAACAAAATAAAGTTTCCATTCAGACGGTCTTGTAAACACAGAAAAAATGTTTCAATAAAATCCATTTTACCCCATTTTAACCCTGTTTTGAAGTAGATTTGTGGAAACCGTGTCCCAGCGTAGATGCGTTCGATTAAGATGGCCGTGCGATTAAAGATTATGATATCGATAACCGTGATTAACCGTTATCGAAATATCGAATTGATTGGAGCAATTATCGATACCTTCCGGTATCGGAACGTGTACAGCAATAATATTACAAACACGATTGGTTCGCGGAATAATTGCTTTTGCATGAACGCGAGAGTACCTAACCCACTTTCCGTGTAAATGAGTTTTTAATTTTTGTATAACCCTTCTTACAGGGCGTGGCCGGGACGCCGGGCAAGAACGGGTTTCCGGTATATTATTTTTTATTTTCTTTCCAGTCCTTTATGTCTCTGTCTATTCTTCTCTATTTCATCTCGGTTTTCTACACTCTATCCATTTACTGTCCCTTCACACTCTTACATAACCATTAAATCGTATTTTGTATTAGCTTACTATACGTAGAACTCTTGTTTGTCTTTTATCTTTTTCTGTCTTGGCCTATTTGTAAAGTTTTCTGCCCATTTAATTTGTGCTTTCCTCCTGGATTTTGGCTCAATATCCTTTTTTTTATACATTTTTACACCCGGAATCATACATGCATCAAACGAAGAAACCAAATTTCAATGTTTGCTTCCAAATATGGCGTTAATTTTTCAGGAGAAACGTTGATTCGTTGATTGTTCGCTTAATTGACACAGGATGTATGGATTTCAGACGCCATGTTTGTCTTTCGACAAAACGAAGGTTTCAATAAGAATAGGTGCGATCAATATCACTGTAGCTCGTACAATTTATACTATTTTTGCTTGAAAAAAATACTGTACACCCTTGAAACATCGATGAAGATATATGAAGTATCCAAACAGAAAACAATCAACGGCTTTCTTTTTAAAAAATAATAAAGAAGGCCTGATGATTGCACGTCTAAATCGAAATATCCCCTTAAAAAGTATGTCATTGATCATTTGTAACTCGTACAATTTACGTTATATTTACTTGAAAAAAATATCGTGTACTCTCGAATCATTGGTAAAGATATGTACGAAATCCAAAGAGAAACAAATCTACGGTTTTCTTTTTAAAAAATGACAAAGAATGCCTCAAAATTGGACGTCTAGATTAAAATATTCCTCAAGGGACTTTCATTGATAATTTGTAACTCGTACAATTTCTACTATTTTTGCTTGAAAAAAATACTGTGTACTCTCGAATCATTGGTAAAGATGTGTACGAAATCCAAAAAGAAACCAATCTACGGTTTTCTTTTTAAAAAATAACAAAGAATGTCTAAAAATTGGACGTCTAGATTAAAATACTCCTCAAGGGACTTTCATTGATAATTTGTAACTCGTACAATTTCTACTATTTTTGCTTGAAAAAAATATCTTATACTCTTGAAACATCGATGAAGGTATATGCAGTATCCAAACAGAGAACAATCAACGGCCTTCTTTTTAAAAAATAATAAAGAAGGCCTAGTGATTGCACGTCTAAATCGAAATATCCCCTTAAACAGTCTGTCATTGATCATTTGTAACTCGTACAATTTACGTTATATTTACTTGTAAAAAATATCGTATACTCTCGAAACATCAATAAAGATATGTACAAAATCCAAAGGGAAACCAATCTACGGTTTTCTTTTTAAAAAATAACAAAAAATGCCTGAAGATGCCAATCTTAAAATACCCTCTTAATGGAACTTTCATTGATAATTTGTAACTATTACAATTTACGTTATATTTACTTGAAAAAAATATCGTGTACTCTCGGAACATCAGTAAAGATATGTACAGAATCCGATCTACGATTTTCTTTTCAAAAAATCGCAAGGAAGGCGTACAAATTCAATGTCTAGATCGGGGTACGCTCTCGATTGGAATAACGTCGGACTACATATTTGGAAGCATTTTAGCGTTCGACACGTAATAACGCCTCTATTTGTCGCGTATGCTTGCGTACGTGCACATTACATACACAAGGAATTATGTTTTCAAAGGCTGCCCGCAGCCTTTTCGATTTTTCACTTTCTTTCGTCATCGTTGCCAGCGATCGGCCATTCGAACTTACTAATGTCTTCTTTCAGGGACCCATCGGGTTGGACGGACCCAAAGGTGATCCGGTGAGTTAAAATTTACGTAGTTTTATCTAGACTTATCGTTAAAGACTTCGTGTTTTGACTATGTATAATAATTTATAATAATTAACGATAAATATCAATATTATAATTTTATAGCAAGTATATAAACAAAGTATGACAAAATATAATTTTATCACATTTGCCACGATACCATTATATGTAATCAGATTGTATTATATTACTTACATGAATATTGTTGGAGTTGCTATTGCACACATATTATTATTCCTATTTATTATTCAATTTCAAAAATAAATATTATTTCTCGAAATAATCAGTATTTTGCATTACTATGATATTAAGTGCTCGAAGGAAAGACTCAAGATCGATCGAAATACATTATTCACGAAGTACCAGTTAAAATTATTTGATTATTTTTAAATCAATATTTGAAATAAATTTCGCTCGAGCCTTCGAGTAGAGTTTGCTTTTCCATCGTGAAATATATATTCCCGCGTATCATAGGTACCGTTGGTAAACGTTTGGCGGGCTCTTGCTGTTCTAACTCTCAAAAGAAACTCGATTTCGTTAAAGCGAAAGAGTCTGTTAAACCTCGTAGCGCCGAGGTAAAACTCGATCGAAGAATCGTAGGATTTATGTTCGGCGCAGAGAAACACGAGAAACGCGAGCTATGTCGTTTCGCCTATCAACCATAAATATGTTAAAATGACACGTACTACACAGCCCGCAGCGTTCTTTCGGCGGAATAGTAAATTGGATACGCGCAATGCAAAACAGACCATCGTGTGAGCGTCAAAGACACACAAGTATTGATCACTATACTGCTATTTCTAGCAAAACACGTCTAAAATTTTTACTTGCCATCATTTTTCAAGTTTCATCATTTTTTTCACGATCGATTTCTTGAGTAAATTTCTTTTTTACAATGAATTCCGCAGTATCACCTTGGGAACATTATGAAAACATTATGTTCTTTATTGTCTGTAAAATAACGTAATTATGAATTCACTTTGATGTAATTTTTTACGTAAAATAGAATACCAATTTTTGTAGACAATTTTGTCAGACTTCAATGGGGAGAAATACAAAAGCAGGACGTTTTTAATAGGATCTGAAATATGGGATCATTTCACATCTAAGAAAGAAACAAGTGACATTTTTTTCCAATGTGCAGTCTAAATGCATAGTTCTAATATGCTTTCTTAGAAGTCGATCGATTGTTTCAACTACTGTGTCCGTTGCAACTGTTTGAAGAAACCATAAAATATTGGGTTAATATTATTAGAAGTTTCTGTTGTGGCTATTGGAGAATTACGCTTTAATGTTTCGTTTTCTCCTGCTGATAATTTCTAACTCTATAATTTCCTAATACCAAAAACTGGTAGGCATTGGAACTTTCTAGTATTATTATTTCGCAGTGACATTGTTAATTCATGAAAAACTATTTATTAATTTAAATTGAACTGTCTTTAAATTACGGAAAACAATTTTGTTACGTAGATTTCAAACTATTGTAGGGTCGATAAGAAATTTATTGAACGCTAGATTTAGAAATTCGGTTTGACAGATTACAGGTCTCATATTTAATATTACAGAAATCATAAATATTATTTTCCAGCAATCGAATTTGATTTATGTAACGATACAATTTAAAGAAGAAAAAAAAAAGGATTTTAGTACTGTTCGTGTCAATGCAATGAGTTTAAATAAAAGGAGGTAAATCTAACGTTATGATACCGAAAGAGAGGGTTGCAAACGTAGGAAAACCAACATTCGCATGTTTCGAAACCCGTGAAACAGTGGTTAACTGTTACAGATGGTTATAAAAAGTTCCACGTTTTGCAGCAAACGTCTCCGATAAAACACGGTGCTTTTGTTTCCACGGGTTTGCCGTATCAAGTTGTTAGATTTCTGTCGAATTTAACGGCGTGTTTCCTTTGCAGGGTCGACCGGGAGAGAAGGGACAGAAAGGCGAACTGGGGAGTCCCGGGTTTGACGTCTTTTCCGCAGTAAAGGTATCTAACTACGCTATATAGTAACACTGAGAAAAAAAAAAAAGAAAAACGCGATCACTTCTCGACAGAATTATCGACAATACAGAGTGCCCCGCCTAACTCGGCCATCGTAACTGTTCAATTCGTTCTCGAACGATGGCAAAAAAGAATTTCAGAATAAAGCTTGGAGGCGAGGACGCGAACTTTTCACGCGTGTCTCGTCTACGTTCGAGTCGATAAATAAAAATCTAAAGGGAAGTGTTTTACAAATGGATCTGTCGTTCACTTATCCGTGCCTAAAGTGGCTCGCAGTTATCCAAACATTGTAGTCAATAAGATGGAGCGATTTGTACGGATTCTTGATAGGTTGTAAAGCGTTATTTTCTCGACGTATCGATCTACGACGATGCAGATTAACAATATAAACCATCTTTTCGCCTACGGGTCAATGCACAGGGATTAGGGTTGAAGAGGTCGGTGACGACGCTTCGCGGCGGGACGCTCGGCTATGCGGAAATCGTCGCTCTGAAGGTAACCGGCCTCTTCGGAAGGCAACACGGCTCGTGTTGCGGTTCAGAAATCTCTTCTCGTCGTCGCTGCTCCTGCTTCTTCTGCTTCTCGCCGCCCCCAACCCCCTCTTTTTCCTCTTTTTCTACGTGGTCTTCATCTTCTTCCATTACCGCATCTTCTCCCCCACCGGTGTTCCTCCTTTGATCTCCCGTATCCAGTAGCATTCCTGCCGGTCCACACTTTGTCTCCATGTTCGAATCCTATATATCTGACGAGTTTTCTGTCCGCACTCCTAGACGCAGTACTATTTCTAGTCGTTGCCTCGTGCGGTGCTTTCGGTGTAGCGTTCTCGTTCGTTCCACGTGCGACGACACACTGCTTTGGCGACGATGCTGGACATTCTCGTCCGGCGACTGCGAACCGATCGTTCGGCGTGCAGGAAAGAGCTGTTCGAATCGTTTTCGAGCGCTATTGGCCGCTCGACGAACGAAACATCGAACTAAGGTGAACATACCGATAACTGGCCAAATATTAATTGAGCACGCGTGTATATGGTCGGTTGCCCTGACATGGAATACTTTTTTTTTATACACATGTTTCGCTTGCTTGCAGAACTTTTATCAAAACTTGAATATTTTATGCTCTGACTGGTAACAGTCAAATTTAAAATATAGTAACGGTTTAGGAAACGTTTACTTTTTTTATCGGAGTCCTAATTTTTCATATTAGTGTAGCATAGTATATCGAATTTACGCTTTTAGAGAGAGAAGGATGATATAAGGAAATAAGTAGCGCACGATTTATAATTCTTTATTTATAAAAAAACATCATTTGTTATTTTTGGAATCCTCTAATTCCATTATCGTTAAATGGATTTTTTATCTTATTTGCCCAAACGAACTGGTAAGCCAGCCAAACCGTAATAACGATAACATGCAATAATTTACAAATGTCTTTTCTATATCTGGAGAAAACACTGGCTTTGGAAAGATATGGATTATCTTTCAATTGTTGTTGCACGTTAGACGATATCTAAAGAACAGAAAACATGTTTTATGTTGTCAAAATAGTATCAGAAGTATATGGTCCCCAATATGAAATATTACATATTAGGCACATTATTATTCCTTGAGTTTTTAGAAACATTAGAGTTACGAAATAGAAATTCATAATTACGACAATTGTCGCGAAAATTTGACCATATTTGAAGAAATAAGCAAGCCGATACAAAGCTGATACACTTACCTTATTATTTATAATATTAGGTCAAATATCACCTTGTAAAAACTCAGACTGCAATATTTTCTTGAATATTCTTTTACGAACACGTGTTGCTTTGAAATTCGAGCATATGCACGCTAGTTGCAACAAATGACAATCGAATGCATTCATCGCTAATAGATGGCAAAGTCACGATTTTTCAATATGGCGGTGTTCCAAATTAGCCACGTATTCTATATTAGGGCAACTGACCCTATAAACAGGGTGTTCGACCACCTCTGAGAAGTATGGGAGATTCTAGAGGCCAAAATAAGACGAAAATCAAGAATACTAATTTGTCGATTGAGGTTTCGTTAAAAATTTATTAACGTTTACAGTTCCATATCGAACGTAAATTTTTCAGCGGAAATTAAAAAATTTGAAATCGTTCTAAAAAAATTAGTTTTGGGTGTAGGAATAAATTTCAATCATTTTTGGTGAATACACATATCCCCGAAATCCTATGCACTTTCGAAAAAAAAATTCAGCAAGTACTGAAATTTTTCTGCGAAATTAAAAAATTTTAAATCGTTCTAAAAAAATTATTTTTGAGTGTAGGAATAAATTTAAATCATTTTTGGTGAATAGACATATCCCGCAAATCCTACGCACTTTCGAGAAAAAAATTCAGCAAGAGCGGAAATCTTTCTGCGAAATTAAAAAATTTGAAATCGTTCTAAAAAAATTATTTTTAGGTGTAGGAGTAAATTTCAATCATTTTTGGTGAATACACATAACCCTGAAATCCTACGCACTTTCAAGAAAAAAATTCCTTACCGTAAATCTAATGTGAGATCAGAAATGGTTCCCCGAATATTTCATGCGTATTTTAAAAACATCATAACTCCTGAACGGATTGATGGATTGTAATGTTTCAAAAGGCAAACTACGCGTATTTTAGTGCGGAATATGTAGGAATTCTAAAAATATTCGAAAAGTTGTTCCCTGACCCCGTAAAGTGAGGAAAACCCCATAAAAATGGTCCAATTTTCAAACAGCCATAACTCCTATAATAGTGAATATAATTCAAAGAAACTTTTTTCTGAAGTAGAGCTCATGTGTGCCTACAATAAAGTACTACAATAAAGTCAAACAAATTTATTAAAAATGAGAAACGAATTTTTAAGAAAAATCGACAGGGGTAGGTGCTGAAATTTTTCGGTGAAAAACAAATATTTCAAATCGTTCTAAAAAAATTATTTTCAGTTGTGGAGGTAAATTACAATCATCTTTGGTGAATACACGTATCCCCGAAATCCTGCACACTTTCGAGAAAAAAATTCGTGTGGGTGGACAAATTTTATTAATAATTGTTAACAATAATTTTGTCAACAACTTTTTAACGAAGCCTAAATCAACAAATTAATATTCTTGATTTTCGTCTTATTTTGGCCTCTAGAATCTCTCATTAAAATTTTTCTCAGGGGTGGCCGAACACCCTGTACAATACACTTTGATTAAGATATTTAAAACATCGTTTGCGTTATCCCAGTTATCCGTATAGCGAGTTTTTGTCGCTCAGATTCGGGCAACTTTTTCCACCGAACGTAACAGGATCGTCTATAAATATTCCAGCAGCAATTGTTACGTCAGCGCCAAAGCGGTGTCGTGGCATTCAGTGAACTTTGGTTTTTGGTTGGTAATGGTATTTACTTTAAGTTACAGTATTTAGGTATATCTCTGGGCATGCCTTGGATTCGGAAGAGCAATGAGAAAACGAGATACCCCAAAAAACAGTCCATTTTAGATTTCCCCCGCCTCCCCATTACCCCTTATGTTTTCATCCGGTAGCGATTTGGTTTTTACCCGTAGTGTTGACCTACTTCTAGGGACTTCAGGAGCAAGGGCATAATATCTCAGCGCAGACCATCATACAACTGAAAGTAAGTGCGCCTGCTCTTTGGGAGCCCCTCCCCCTCTCCCCCGACCACCACCACCCCTACTCTCTTTTCGTTTCCTTACCATCGATTCTCCAGGCATTCGATTTGGTATTCTCTACGCGGGGCAAGTATTTGTTAAATCGCCGCTCTTTTGATGGGACGGTCTGCTCAATTTATCAGTGCCAATTTCACGGAACAATAAATCGCATTCTATCTGCGTGCGTTTGACGTAGATATGTTCACCCGGGTTTGCGCAATCAAAGACCATCCGCGTACAAACATTCATTAAAAATCGCGTTTCGGAGTCGTTTTTTGGTCGTTTCGCGCGCTCCTGCCTCGACGGTTCGCGCAACGACAGAGAAAAGATGAAAAATGGAGGCGGAGAGGCGCGCCCCGTGCGCTCTGGTAACGCGTAAACGAGAATACGGTCGACCGTCGTTTACTTGGTGAATCGAACCATGCGTTGAAAGAAATTTCGAGAAATAAAGAAGAACAAAATCGAAACTTCTCTTCATAGAAATATCTATCTAACTAGCACCTTCTTATTTTATTCTTTTTTTACCTGTTTCCTCAGGGCCGTGCAAATTCAGAGCGCGTTCTTGTCGCTGTAGTTTTTCTTTTCACCGTTTCATGAAATTCGCGCGAAAGCGACAATATCAGGGAAAGTTAACGAGAAGATTTAATGTTTCCGCTGGATTTTCAGTAAATTTAAAACAGTCCCTGTCATTGTGTGACCATTTTCCTTCTCTTTTTTATCGTTTCACTTTGAATTCGTTCACGAGTAACGGTATCGGCTTAACAGAAACAATTTTTCGTTGAAATTTTTTCAGTACAAACGTCCTGGACGTAAACAAACGAAGCACGACCCTGTTTCTTCTGCATGCTAGTTTACCTCCAAAGCAGCTCGCGCGAAATCAAACGCACCTCGTCGAACAAAAGGTGCTCGCATGACGTGTATCGCATGTTATTTATTCCACCGTTCTTATAAATGTGAAGCTTTTGAAGCGTAGTGCCATATATATACGTATATATATGTGTGTTACGTGTTCCGAGAGACGAATGTGCAAGTCTTTTTGCGTAGATGTGTGTAGGTGTATGTGTATTGTAGATGTGTACACAAATACGTGCTAAGAGAGAATTTGTATTTACAAACGAAGTCCCGAAGCTCAAATTAAATAACGATTAAAACTGATTGCGAGGATGATTGTTCGATACGATATTAATTGCGCACCGGGAACGCCGATTAAATGATTTAAAGATTCAATTCGGAATGAGGCGTTGGGTTTCGAAAGAAACTGGAAAATTCGTTTGGAATTTATAAAAACAGGCAAAAAAACGCTAGATCGTAGCTTTTTATAATTACTAATTAGATATTTTTTTGATAGAATATTTAACACTTTGACTGCCACGTCACCCATATTTGGGTGACAGAACTTTTCACAGTGAAATTAAAACAATGAATTCTCAAGTTGAAATGTTTAAAAAAGTCAATTTTAATAGGCTTCGTAAATTTTAATGAGGTTAGAAAAGTAACTATTACGACAACTTTTAAGTTGTGCAGTTTACAATTGCCTAAAATCAAGGTTTTGGTCTCGTAAAGAATTTTAGGGTTTTAAACTGGCAGTCAACGTGTTAAAGAATAATTTGTTGCGGTAAAAAATAATGTGATCGAATTATTAAGTAGATTTGACGCGCATGGACCTTCCTCTGAAATATTCGCGACAAAGCTTTTACGTATCACGGAAATGAATAATTTTAGCGTACGATCTTATCAACGAACAGTAACTTTCGCCAAGTCGCGGCACAAAGACACTCGCACTCCTTGAATTCGTTGTCACCTGACACGTGCACGTCGCTCTGAAAACTCAAAACTGCGCGTGGAAACTATTTTCATAAACTATAGTCTTCTTACGAACGACTCCCAAAATTTATTTTAATCGAATTTCGAATACACGCAAATGTAGATATATTTCGCCTTTTAACAACTTTGCACCTTTGCCAAGATTTGGCTAAACTTTATTCGAGTGCAAGTATTAGATTTATTCGAAAATTCGTTTGTAAATTAGAATTAACTAATTTTTTAATCCCCATCCAGGAACATAGATTTATTATTATTATTTGCACACTGCGTGGTCCTTTATGTACACATAACCCATTAAACACAATAAGGATTTACGCTTTCGTATCCACGCGCAGTTTTCCCGCGAGCTTTTTCTTCGCCTCTGTCCGCAATCTTCTTCCGCCGGCTTACCACTTTTCTCTGAACCGACCATTCTCTCCCCTGTCTCTCTGTTTTCTTCTGTCTGCCTCTTTTTATATTCACCATCGACAGTTTCCCCCGTTGCTCCTCTTCCTGTTCCTTTCGTCTGTGGCACAAACCGACGAGTACCGAGAGACACTCTTGTCGAGGGCTCTCGCCGGAAGAAAGCGGTAACGACGTAACGCTCTTGGAACGTAACAGGGAGAGCCAGGAGAACCTGGCCCACCGGGCCCAGCGGGCCCTCCGGGGGCCGAAGGGCTTCCCGGGCACGAGGGCAGGCAAGGAGCACCAGGTGACGTCGGACCGCCCGGGGAAAGGGGACCACCAGGACCGATCGGGCCCATTGGGCCCTCCGGAACGCCCGGCCTTCAGGGCCTCAAGGTACCGCAACAATTATCATTCATTCGACCATTAGAAACCGTATTTAACACGTTCACTGACACGCCAGTTTTACTTTGTCCAAAAATTTTATCAGCATTTGTTGAAATTATGAAGAAATGTTCGATAATTTAATGGTGAATATGTTATTTTTAGGGGTGTGCGGAATTCCCGAAAATATTTGGGATTCCCGACAATGTACGGGATATATTGACTATCCATTCAGAAATATCTACCGATATTAAAATTCTGCATTGTCAGAATTATCGAAATTTGCAATTATTTTCTACAATATTACTAACATAAACATTCCCGATTAATGAGATATGTAATCTTCGAGAACACAATGGCTTTCGGATTCTGGTAATTGTCGGAAGTATGGAGAAACTTAAAATGTTGGGAATCACAGACGTTTTCGGGATTTTGAAATTCTCGGGAATCCATCCCGATCTCGAGAAAAATTCTCATCCCGATCGGGATCTCGCACACCTCTAGTTGTTTCACAATATTCAAAATTAAAGTGGCGTCGTTTACAATTATACAAGTATTAGGGTAAACGATATTGCAACATGTTGTAAGTTCATAGTGTCGGTCACCGGTGATCACCATGGCAATTAACGTGTTAATAATCTCAATATGTCCTGGAGTTATTTTGCAATAATCCAAATTAAAGTAGCATCAAGAATTAGAGTCCTTGAAAATAATATTGCAACGCGTTGTAAGTTAAAAGTGCCGGTCACCGGTGACCACCATGGCATTTAACGTGTTAATAAGCTTAATACCTCAAGTAGCTGAATACCTCATCTTATTTTACATAATTCCAAATTAAAGTAGTGTCATTCACAATTTTCACGTATTAGATTTCTGATGAATAATATAACAAAGTGTCGGTCACCGGTGACCACCGTAGCAATTAACATGTTAATAACCTCAATATCTCAATCGTTATTTTACAATATTCCAAATTAAAGTAGTGTTATTTGCAATTTTACAAGCATTAGTATTCTCCCATTGTAAACAATATTGGAACGCGTTGTAAGTTCCTAGTGTCGGTCACCGGTGACCACCATGGCAATCAACGTGTTAATAATCTCAATATGTCAAGAGTTATTTTACAATAATCCAAATTAAAGTAACATCAAGAATTAGAGTTCTTGAAAATAATATTGCAACGCGTTGTAAGTTAAAAGTGCCGGTCACCGGTGATCACCATGGCAATCAACGTGTTAATAAGCTTAATACCTCAAATAGCTAAATACCTCATCTTATTTTACGTTATTCCAAATTAAAGTAGTGCCATTCACAATTTTACACGTATTAGAGTTCTGGTGAATAATATAACAAAGTGTCGGTCACCGGTGACCACCGTAGCAATTAACGTGTCAATAAGCTTAATACCTCAAATAGCTGAATACCTCATCTTATTTTACATTGTTCCAAATTAAAGTAGCGTTATTCACAATTTTATTAATATTAGGGTTTTTCTTGTAAACATTATTGCAACGCGTTGTAAGTTAAAAGTGTCCGAAATAATATTTAATGTTTAAAAATTTGTTCCCATATTATTACGAACACTTATCTCATATTACATTTTATTTATTCGAACATAAATTTAAATATTTCGCTATAGAAATATCAAATCGCTCTACGAAAAGTCGGAAAGTCGATCGAGGAATAATGAAACTTCGATAATTAATTGCAATAGTAAATTGTAACTTTCGATACTTTTGACGGAAATAGTGTTGACAATTTTCTTCGAATTTCGTTTGATGTACCAGCTGAGTTTGGCTTCCGGTTTGCCAGTTTCCTGCACGAGATCAATGTTTGACGTAGTTTGAAATGCAGAACAAAATGGTTGTAAACATTCTTAAACTTTTCCAAAAGGAAGTTCTTCGAACAACTGAATAAGATATCCTGGCTCGTCCTAGTTTATCAAGGCCATTGTTAATACCATTAATCGAAATTACATTATTCGCAGGGTGACAGGGGCGATAAAGGCGAACGGGGATTAACGACGTCCTTGACCGGCGAACCGTTTCCAACTGGAATATTGGAAGCAAAGCCTGGTCCACCAGGACCACCTGGTAAGCATACAGGCGGTGTAATTTTAATTCTCTCGAGATTGATGAGTTCTGTCCACGATACAGGGTGTTCCCGCGCGATTGGGAAAAAGCTACGTCTCGAAAACGGTCAGAGACACAAAAAAAATTTCATGAAAAGATAGAGCTAACGCAACGTAGGTGGAATACCAGATCGTTCAAGGTAAATACAAAATTACAGCAGACCGAGTAATTGCAAACGTACAAAATTAATATACACTGTGTTGTTGGTCGGAAAAAAATAGCAAGTTTTCTTTCTTTCGTTTTTTTAATATGTCGTTTATCGTTTTTGAAAAGAAATTTGGAAAGAGAATTGCATTTTTTGGATGCATAACAGTGAATAAAATCACATTTTGTGTCTCTAACCGTTTAGAGATATAGTTTTTCTCAATTGCGTGGAACACACTATATGTATATGGTGAGGTGGCCACGTAGGACGATATGGATTATGATTTTCAATTCGTAGATTAACGAAGCTGATTAAGTTGTACTGTGTTTAAAAGGATCATTCGATAAGTAAAGAGACAAGGCTGTGGTTAAAAATGATCTATATGTCGAATATCTAGAAGTCGACGTTAATATTTTATGGTTGATTTTATTTACCCCGAGAATGTATATTAGAAACAAGTACATGAAAACTTAGTAATATTATGTCTAATTACAATTATAGGAACACGAAAGCGGTTGATGTTTGACATGGCTTGATGTTTCTTTACTTCTTACTAATTACTAATATTTATACTAATTTTCAGGATGATTAGACCTAGGCGATTGTTATTGTAGGCCACTGTATAAACTATGTGAAATGAACCCCAGAATTGAAAATCGTCTCTATAATTACTATATGGATAACGATTACAAAAACAATATTTTTAAATCAAACAAAATAATCAATAGGTATAAGGTGTAAGAATTTAGGTACAGCTATACCATTTAATTGTTACAAACATTGTTCTGCACTAGCAAACAGTGTTCGGAAACGTTTGAAACGAATTTTCCCCAAGAAAGTGAATTCCGATTGCGGGGAGCAAAATTAAACCGATAATAATACTTTCCCGGAAAATGATAATTCATTTGCATAGTTAAGAACCCTTCAAGACCAAGGGGGTCTTCTAGCGTGAAACGCGTTTTTTTTTTTTTTTAATTTTCTTTAAGAATTTTTTGAAAATAATATTGAATACTCAAACTCCATACAAAAATATTTTACCGCCCCTACAAAAAAATTCCACAGAATCCAGAAAATTGCATTCTGGAGTGGAGTGAAGTCTTCCCGGAAATTCTGTGGAAACATGTAAGTGAATTATCATATTTCAATAGATATTCTATCGGTTCAATTATGCTCCTGTATATTTAACGAGGAGATTGTGTGTGCGTGCGCGAACGAACGACTGCCATGTTTTATTTTATGCACGTGATGTACATGCACGCAGGGCCCAAGGGCGAGAAGGGACCACCTGGGCTGCCGGGATCGAATGGTCTCCGGGGAAAGACAGGGAAGAAGGTAAGCTTCAGCGAGGTCCTCCGGCCAACGACCACCGACCAAATCGACCGTACAAACCGTTCCATCCTAACAACCACCCATAGAAACGACCAACTTTCCACCGACGCTCGGAAAGGAAAAAAATCATCCTGGTCTATCTCGCGTATCCTCGTTCCTCGTCCTTCTTCGAATCACCATCCAAACGTCCTTTCGAGTATTTAAACTTCTCTATGATACGTAATGCACGATAGTAACATTTTTGGAGCTTTTCTCGGGGCAAGACACGCATGCGTCTGGCTGAGCATTTGTTATTTATTTTGGTTTCTTGGATCAACGCGACTGTGGACGTCGTGGAATATTTTCTGAACCGACTAATCATCGGAGACCGTCGATCCCTACCCACGATATAATTCGTGAACATCCTTTTTTATACAAAAACGTGCGAACAATTCTTTTTTCGATAACTGTAATCCCCCTGGTTTCAGTTAAACGGGTCGCTATTTTATCGAACAGCCTTCGTTTTACACGATTTTATCCTAGTTTGATTTTTTTCGTGGATATCCTGCGTCTGGCGACCGGGATTTCGAACGCTTCGAATCTAGAAAATGGTGGGAAAAACGAATCCAAATTCTAAATATAACATTCTCCATCTCGACTGTGGAAATATCTTTCGTTCTACGGTTTTTCATAGTAATAAATAAATTCTTAAGAACTTCGGTGATAGATAAATTTTTAGGGTTTTATTTATTTAATAAGTATTCACAGGTTGAATTTTTATTCCTTTTGTTGGGGAAAAAAACTCTTAAAACTATTAATTTAAAAGTTATTGCAACTCAAAGTATTTTTAACATATATAAAAATGAATTTTCTGATTAAATAAATGAATAGGTATGGTTGAAAATTTGTGTTTGTCGAAATTTACTTTCCAGTTTATTCCTTCTCAACAGTGTTTATTAATAACAAGATCCCACCACTATCTACATCGAATCCATTTTTTCTTTTTGTTTGCACGAAGCGTTCAGTTTTTGTTCCATTCTTTATTTTCTTTTTTTTTTTTAATGTTTTCTTAACGTTGATTTTTCGTGAATTCCCCTCGACGATGGAACTGGTATCGTGAAATTAATTATTCCTGAGCACATTCTGGTCTTTCGATGTTAAAAGACTTCGGGACGTCTGCGTAGAAGTCACGAGGACGCACAAGCATGATTCAAATCACCTGAGCATGCCAGCACGCGACACTTGCATGGTCACCTGCTTCTTTTCATTTAGTGAAGTATTGTAGAACAAGTAGACGTTAAATTGCATTGTTTCGACGACGATCGAACGGAGAATATCCCCCCACCCCTTCCCCCCGGAATCAAGCAATTCAACGACAAAAAAATCGCCCAAAATTGCTTCGAGGATCTATTGTTCGATTAAAATTCTACACCCACGTAAATTGATTGTGAAATTTGAACGACCTATCGAAAGGAATATTCTCCGTGACGGTCGTTTCGAGGCCGATTCGCGCGTAAAATAAATCGCGAAAACGACGATTGTCCGTAGAAAGTAAAACGTTGGTGGCAGCAAATAACACGTACGCGATTTGATAACGCTTCACCCGGTATATACTCCCCGGGACACTGGTTTTGTGTCGCGGGGCACGGACGTGCGATTATTAAGGTGTAACATTACACAACATTCGTAACCATGACTCAAAACTACTCAACTCACGTTGAACGTATCACGTCGGGAAAAATCACTAAAAAATAATGCACCGTTCGGATATTCTTTCGAACTGCACGATTCCCTTAAATATCCACACCCCCGAAACGCGTTGATCTATTAAATTTTCTGTTTTTTTTTTTAGAAAACTTTCGAACCGTACGAAAACAAGGAAATTGCACTAGCGTCGCTGTCCCGGGTTTTTTTCTCCAATTTTCAGCCTGATCCCTGGATCGAACGATCTCTAATGCAAGAGAACTTGTAGAAAACGAAAGTTGAAATCTAAAAAATAGAAATTTAGTAGACGCAGCGTGGTCGTGGATAGATAATCGGATCGTGTAACGATCCAAACGGCGCCATGTTTTTCTGGTCCCCACCAGTGATCGCTTAACGAATTCTTTACTTTAAGGTCTAACCGTAAGTATATTCGCAGATCTGCGAACGATCGGTTTTCGAGGACATTTGCAATCAGGCCCAGCGTCGTTGGTCGACGAATCGTCGCCGCTAAACTCGTTAATTAAGTCGTCATGCTGGTTAAAAGCGTAAATAGAGCAAAATCGGGGACTCCGACGCCGACAGGACTCTCCGAGGGTGTCCCCGAGTCGGCGGAGAGAGAATTCCGGCTATTAGTAAGTTTCCCCGTCGGTCGGAATGAAGTGAGACGGGGGCCTTTCGCAATTTGTTCGAGTCTCGAATGGTCCCCGACGATGTTATATGCTTTTGTTGTCGGGGACCGCGTTGCGTAGCTTGCAATGTCTAGTAAGTTTGCAGCGTCCCACCTGTATAATGCCTATCTAGTTCCTATGTTGCAGAGTTGGAGTATACTCGGCTAAACTTTGTGTCTGTCCCCGTTTTCGATAACCCCGTTGCGTGATTTTCGTCGGATGGGGGAAAAAAAAAAGAAAGAAAGAAGGTTGAGACGAGAGAAAGAGAGAGAGAGACTGGTCGCTTACTTTAGTCAGTAGTAATTAGCGTAGTGTACGTAGCTTGTGTAACTAATTTGTGTTTAATGTAGCAAGTAACACCACATTTCTTCCCCTGTGTGTCGGTTCAAATAATTAATAACTAATAACTACTACTCCTGGCTTTGAGGCTCTCGCAACTTTATCCACCGGTGATCGATGCAAGCCTGCGATTGTCGCGTAAGTATCAAACAGCCCCTAAACAAGTATGTAGCTTTATTGTCGACCTTTCGTGATCGCGTAATACAGCCCGCAAATTCACGCGTAATGACGGGCTCGATGGTTTTTTCTTTTTTTTTTTTCTTTTTTTTTTTTTTTTTTATATATATAATCTTTTTCTGATCTTGTCCACTGTCTCTTGATCGTTGCACGACGCAAATCTGCATTAAATGACGAAACTTGGTTGGCCTTTCGTATGGCAACCGATGGCCGATCGATGTGAAATTTGGGGGAGGGAGACGCCAAATATAGAATTTTCTCTTAGGTTTGGCTATATTTTATTTCGTACGCGTTAGAATAGCATATTGGAAGCTAAGATTTCACGACAGAACGATTTTAAGTTAAGAACAATTTTAAGTTCGTAAAAATATATAAAACTGAATGTCTTGGAACCTATTTAATTCCCGAAGCTGAAATTTTATATTTGGCATCGATTCCCCCTTCTCTAGATTTCGCGTCGATGGGCTACGTGTGCTATCCGGAAGAATAATTCATTTATTTTTATTTTTTTTTTTTTATCGATATAAACGTCAGCGAGTCGATTTCGGTACTTTTTTTATAATTTATTTTGTATGTGAAACTCGGACGAAACGTTTTTGAGTCGTTCGCAATTATTTATTAATTAGAGAACTACCATTTTCGATAAATCACGTTGCAACATCGGTCGATATTCGTACGATGGTCGAGCGAAAAGAATATCGGGAAAACGATAGATTAAATATTCGAACCCATTAATAACATGTAACTAAATTTTAATTGTCCAAATTAGAAATATACAGATCAATTAAAATTCTTTTTATAGATTTCGAGCACATATAGTATTTATTAAATTAAGTTAAAATGGATTAGTTGATACAGGTCGAGAAATCGATTTTTATCGGTTAATTCTTTTCATTTTTTGAATTTCTATCTTCCTTAGAATTGAATAATATCGATTTTCAGACCTACGACGACTAACCATTTCTGACTTAATTAGATACATACTGTACACCCTCGAGCTTTATAATTATGTCTTTTTAAACGCCCTGTGACCTGGAAATTACGCGTGAAAGAAAGGAGAAAGAGAAATTCTAAAAGCTTCCAATTTCTACTAAATTTGATCCCACTAACAATGAGTCCCGTTGTCGTCAATTGCATGCGACATGAGTAGTATATTTTTTTGTGTTGTCGATTAAGTGTTAATTATTGTGTATAGATTTCGTATTTTAATAGTAGCGTAGCCGCGTCGAGCGATTTTGGCAGAAATTATTGGCAGTACAATAATCGTCGTCTCGAACAAAAAAATTATAAAACGATATGGAAAATTTCAAGCCAGACAGTGAACGATAGACCGTAGCGGGGGTTGCCAAAATCGTTCAGAGGACAAAAATATAGTATCTGATAAAGAACCAATCCCCTCCTTCTGCCCCTCCCTCCTGAGGAAAAAGAGAAAGATATTAACGCTTCGTCGTGAAAGGAAAAAAAAGTACTTTTCAAAACGATTGAACGAAAATGGAGGACCTGGTTGGATCTGACCTTACAGTGTTACGTTATAGGGTTTCAAGGGTGAAAGCGGTGTGGCATTGATGAGAGGCCTACCCGGCCTACCGGGCCCAAAGGGTGAACCCGGTGAACGGGGTTACCGAGGCGAAAAAGGAACCATGGGAGTTACGGGCTTTCCAGGTAGATTTTCACGAAATTCGAGTAAAAGGATCACGATGAATCTTTTCCCTCCTCGCCGTTTTAAAAGAAAACCAACGATCTCCACTCGCTATCTCGACCATACACTTTCCACTCGCAAACGTAAATTGTTCATACGAAAATGGGGGCACTTTGCTCTGCGCTTTTTTTGGAAACTTCGATCCTTTGTTTCCGGTACGACTGGGTATGCGTGATTGGTGACTGTTTCCGTTGACTGTCTCTACTCGAAACGTCTCGGATGGTATTTTTATAAAAGTGTTCGCACAAAAAGCATTCGATTTCAACAAAAAACTGGAACTTGGCTTGTTACAGTGTATGCATATTTTCGAAAATCAACGGAACTAACGTCATAAAAATGAAGTTGTTTATTTATAATTTTTATATGAGAATATCAATATACAGGGTGTAGGGCCACCCATGGGAAAAATTTTAATGGAAGATTCTAGAGGCCAGAATAAGACGATAATCAAGAATACCAATTTGTTATTAATGTTTAAAGTTCCGCCCGTGCTGAATTTTTTTCTAGAAAGTGGGTAGGATTTCGAGGGTAGTTCTATTCACCAAAAATTATTGTAATTGACCTCCGCAACCGAAAATAATTTTTCCAGAACGATTTGAAATTTTTCAATTTTGTCGAAAAATATCACAACTCGAATTTTTTTCTCGAAATTGGGTAGGATTTCGAGGGTATGTATAATGACCAAAAATGATTGTAATTGACCCCCGCAACCGAAAATAATTTTTCCAGAACGATTTGAAAGTTTTCAATTTTGTCGAAAAATATCACAACTCGAATTTTTTTTCTCGAAATTGGGTAGGAATTCGAGGGTATGTATAATGACCAAAAATGATTGTAATTGACCCCCACAGCCGAAAATAATTTTTCCCGAACGATTTGAAAGTTTTGAATTTAATTGTTAATAACTTTTTAACGAAGCCTCCATCAACAAATTGGTATTCTTGATTTTCGTCTTAATTTGTCCTCTAGAATACCCTGTTAAAATTTTTCCCAGAGGTGGTCGAACACCCTGTATAGTCATATAATTTTCGTAGAATTCCTCAAATGTTAATAGAAATATTAGTAAATAGAAATAGAAGGATAGAAATATTACTAAATATTATATTAGAAATATAAGTAATGAAACGAAAATAATCAATTTCTTTCCTACGAAGTATATTTCTGTGCAACGAACAAAGTTCTACGACGATTTTGTTAAAATTAACTGCTGTACCGATACTTTCTGGTCCCGGTGTGTAGCGAAAAATTCGGTGTACGTTTGAGAAATTGCTCAGCGATGTTTCCGGTCGAATTCACCGGCGTGCTTCGGTTAATGATCGGGCATGAGTGCGAGTGAGTGAATGGAGTAACGTGAAAGAAAGGGATGAGGGGGAGGGGGGGTCGGAGGACAGGAAGAAAGGAAGGAAAGATAGTTTTAGTAACGATCGACTCTCCTATCTGTGCGTGAAAATCTATCGATCGCGCGGAAGAGTCGAGCCTTTGCGATCCACTTCCACTAGCAGAAATTCAAACTTTCAGGACCGAGGGGAGAACAGGGACTTCCCGGGCCGCCCGGTCTGAACGGAACGGATGGAGAAGTCGGGATCCAGGGTCCCCCGGGATTGCCAGTAAGTAAACTGTGCGTGTAAATTGCGCTACAGGATATCCTGTTTACTATAGCCTACATTTTTCGACGCTTCGGACCAGGGCTTGAATGGAACTTTCCAAGGGAAGGACCCCGGATTGTCCGACTTTGATTTTAATGGGACTTTGCGAGGCGATGGTGTACACGTTCCTAATGATATGTGAACAAAAAAATCGAGTCAGCTACCTCAATAGTTACATTTTTACATGATCTTTTCATTCCGAAGAAACTTGTTACTGATACATTTAAAATCATTAAGATTTTTTGACACGAAAGTTTGCTGGTTAATGAAGCGATGAAAAGGTTTATTTTGAAAGTGGCGCGAGTCCCATTGCGAGAGTTTCAAATGGATATGGATGATATTATGCAATACAATTTCATGAGATTCTAGCTTTTTTATTTTGTTGCATAGAGTAGTCAAAGTAGCAATTGAATTTGTTATAAACACGGAACGGCACCTGTCCACGGAAAGAAGCGCATTGTTCTCGCGCAATCTGCGTTGAAAATCAGAGCGACGAACAGTGTTGTTTCACTTGCTCGGTATTTTTACTTGTTTCTACAGTTTTCTTAAATTCGGATTGCTTTATTTGTGCTTTACTTGTAATATTATAAATTTCGACATGTTGGAAAATACTCACCTTCAAGATACGGCCAAACCTAAAATACAAGGACCTAATGGATTTATTACATTATATACCACCTGCACATCATAGTTATTTCAAATCCTTCCCGCATACACAAACTGGAGAAGACTGAATAATAATTAATAAAACAATATTAATTTTAATGCCAAAGTTATTTGTCAAAGAATAAAAGTTGAATATTTTTTTGAACATTTATTTTTATTTCGAGGAAAATTTGCTTTTCCTATGGATTTGTGCTTTCTTAAGAATTGAATAAAAATTGCCCATATTATAAAAGAGTTATTTCTAACTTTGACGTGGTCCTTTAATAACAGCGTGGTCTATTGCTTTAGTTATACCATGTTCCAATAGTTGAGTCTGATAGCGAGTCCAGTTTCATGAAAGTTAGACACTCTTCTCACCTCGCCAACGCCACTCAATATCTACTGTCTATGTATATTCATGATTTTAATCGTTTATATCTTTAAAATTATCAAGTATCTATTGTGCATTTCACACATATACCTACTATCGCCTTGCAAAGACCCGTAAATATCGAGGACGGACAATTGGGGTCCTTATTTTGTTTACTTTTAACTTTTCTGTTCCAAGCAAACAATTTTCTAGATCCATTTAATGCGCTCGAGGTCGTTAGAATTAATTTTGATTTACATATTACGTAAACTCGTCGACGACATTTTGTTCAGGGCATATCCGGGCCTAAAGGTGAGAAAGGTGAAAACGGGGATATCGGACCTCCGGGACTTATGGGGTCCCCGGGTTTACCCGGTCCTCCGGTATGTAAATTACTGCAAAATATTATTCGTTGGATAATTGTGGGTGGATTCGATTCGATCAAATGTATAATGTCACGAATGTTCTCGGTGAACAGGGCTACCCAGGTTTGAAGGGCGAGAAAGGAGAGAAAAGCGAATCGGTGAGTCGATTTCTCAGTAATACTTACTTTTTCATAGAGTAAAGTTTCTCGATTTCCTCTATCATCCATATTCGATGGTAACAAAAATATACAGTCAATCGTTAGAAAATGTAAATGTAAAATTCGAGTACCTAATATCGGGTACTCGTACACCCCTATTAAATATCCACCGATTTTCTCAGCGATTCTGAATCCTTGGTTTCGATTCTCGGTATGTAAACGGTATAATGGTTTGAGTTTGTCGCGAGAATCGCTTTGTGATCGAGGATCGAACAGAGCACAGAACTTTCGCGGCCCGAATTCACCGATTTGACGATAAAAATCTCTTTCTTTTCATGACATGACATCGGGCTTCCGCCGACAGAAATACAAAAAGCTCAGACGGAGGCAGGTACGTGTATTTTATCTTCGTTTCTTTTGTAACACAATAATCGTTATCTGGAATCGTCTAGTCTTCTGTCGGAGACACCAAGGGAAGATAAATACCGTTAAAATGGATATTTTGTTACAGGGTGACGGTACGTTCGAAGTGAATGCCGGAGAAGTGGTGAGTAGAAGCCACTGAGAAGCGCACTGGGTGGGGTTTTTGCCCGGAAAACAGCCGGACAAAATACCTAAAATAAAATACCTCTGCAATTTTTGTTTCTTGAGTGTAATGTGTGAGAGACAATGTATGAACAAACATCATACTACGCACAAAGTTTAAAAAAAGTGTTCCTTTACATGGCTGTATCTTTATTTAAGAAATATCCTTTTTGAAATTGCAATAAATATTGTCTGCAATCAGTATTTTGATAAATATAAAGAAACTTTACAGTTTGACCCAGTTAATAATAACATATGTCAATGTAATTATTTGAAAATTTATATACTCCTCCGTTAGTTAATTATTTTTTAAATGCTTTAAAGGAACTCCCGTTTACCAATTTGGTAAAAATCCATATTAAGTAAACTAATTGAGATTGAGAGTCCACTTAACACTAAACCTACCGCGACCGGTCAAACGACCGTTTTTTAAATTTCGTTTAGAATTTCTAACATACAATGTTAGTTTAGCGCCACTTAACTTCACGACTTTTCTTATAGTATACGTACAATGAGTTTTGTCAATATTCAGTTCTATTCTTAATAATTTTTCTTCTTCTTCTTAATTCTTAGTAATTTTTTAAATTCCACTCTCCGTCGTACAAAAGACTGTTAAAGCGTATTAAAATTACTGAAACTTTCAATACGTGCAGCTTTGAAACTACTAGTGCTTTATCTATAATTGAACCACTGTTGGAAGGGGCAAACCTTCCCCTTTGAAATGGTTTTTGGTTTTTGTCGATCCGACTTTTCGTTTTGGAGATATCGCAATTTATGTAAAAGGGTATTTTTCTTAATTTGACTATCTCTGTCTCCGTCTGACGCGTCGCGCCGGGCCTCTCTCTCGCGCGTGAGTCGACGCACACGTTACTACGCACTGTTTACTATTTTCGCGCGCGCGAGTTCATTCACCTCGCGACAATGAAATGTAAACAAAGCTTCGGACCCTTATATCTCCGGAACTAGCCACCGCATCGACTTGAAACTAAAAACGCTATATCTCCGGAACTAATTGAGCTATAGACTTGTTCGAACGCTCATTTTAAAGGGCATTGCATCCTCTATCCAATGACTATACCAGCTACTATAACTTTTGCTGTCTTCTATGTTTATTTTCGCATTTATTTTGACGCTACATACCCAAAGAAGTTTCAGCAATTCCTACTGATCGCACGACTAATGTACGATAAAACTGGATCATAAATTGTTTATTTAATTGAAAATTAATTTAAATTTGAATATAGGACGTTTGCATAATTACTATGCCATTTTTTCGTAAATAATTGTCTTCTCCAGAATTAACAACGGTATCGACTTGAAACAAATTTCGTTTTCAAGGTCGTTTTACCTTCCATCCGATGAGAATTAAGAAATTTCGACGTAGTTTGTAAATTTTTTGTATGAAGTTAAAGCACTAAGTATGCACATTTCGAGTAAAAGTGTTGGATATTTTTGTAAGAGGGAAAGATATCTTACGAATAAATTTCAAAGCACAACTTTCTATACATATAATGCAAAAATTAGAAGTATGTTGCCCCGTAAAAGAGAAAAAGAAAGTCATTTGACCGGTCATGGTAGGAATGGATATACACGAAATGTTGGTAGGTTTAGTGTTAAGGATTAAAATCGTTTTCGTTTCGTCGAATTTGAAGGAATCGAAGGATCGGGCGAATATTAAAATGGTTTTGTTCCGCTGTTCCGGGCAAAAGCCGTGGTTGCTTGAAATTTCAATCGCTTCTTATTTCACTGAACGGGGTGGATCGTACGGATAAAACCATTTTACAAATGTTCGACGTTATTTAATTGAACATTCGCAGATAATGGGCCCGCCAGGACCGCCCGGTCCAGCTGGCACCCCTGGGCTTCAAGGTCCTCCCGGAATCAAAGGCGATCGAGGACACGATGGCGCTAAAGGCGATCCTGTCAGTAATCACCGTTTACTACAAATCCTTTTTTAACAGTAAAATACGTTTCTCGTGCCGCGTGTCCCAAACCTCGCTGGTTTTTTCAATAGGATCGAAATAAATCGAAAATCATACAAATCGTTATTCGTATCTATTTAAAAACATTCACAAATATTTGTACAATGGCGGCTATGGGAATTGAAAGTTCCATCGATCTTATCGAAAGGCCCAACATTAGTTTCGATTGAATAAAAAATGGCGGTATCGTTTAAAAAATGTTACGGATTTGATTGAAAGTTTTTCTGTTCCTAAAATTTATTAAACGCAGACTTTTGCCCGTATAATCTTGACGAAGGTAACAAGAACAAATTGTTACTAGACAGGACGAGGCAAACTATTAAACGAAACGTTTCTTTTCACGTTGCAGGGAGAGAAAGGTGCCAAAGGAGATCCTGGTCCAATGGGACTGCCCGTACGTATTTTCCTCCACAGATTAGGTTTGTAGGTTAGGTAGGTTACAAAAGCGCGGCGAACTGCCAGGGAAACGAACCATTTTTTAAAAGATACGAGCAAACACAATTTAAACGTTAATAAATTCGATATATTTCCACGGTTAACGCTCGAAAAGGGACACTGATACGCTCCGAACGTGAACTTACTTCCCCAGCGAAAATAACAATTATAATTTGTTGTCAGAACAACAAGTACATAACGAGAAAATGGAGAAGGTACATGTAAATAAAAGTTACACGATACATAGATGCACAAATACATAACCCATCGATAGTGTTAATACAAACAGCAAAATTTTTAACGATAATGAAAACTTTAGTACATCGTACCGTAAGCGATGCGAGTTTTTCTTTATGAATACACAACGCGTTAAAAAGCACGCATTTCTTAACGATTATTATTGCTTCAAATCCTTCTTCTCGAAGACAATTAAATGAAAGAAATAGATTTTTCCAAAACTGTTAGTTCGCGAAGGGGTGAATTTAATTTTCTGTAAGGGTTAATTGATAGGGAGCCTGTACGAAACAGATCTTGCCTATCGGTGTTGAGAAAAGCTGCATTGCTTATGGGAATAACATAATATATTCATCTGCACTCGTTCATGCCACTATATGTTGACGTTTCAGTCGATTCTCTGATTGAGGATGTTTGTTTATTTACAGGGCCCCATGGGACTTAGAGGAGAATCCGGAAAACCCGGGGATTCCGGGAAACCTGGTGTCATGGTAAGAACGCGGACCTCTCGCTCCTAACGTCATCGTTATTTGGCCTCGCTGCTGAATCATTGATAGCCATTCACTAACGACCAGTGTAATCAAATTGTCGCTTTCCCGACATGGCGTCGTACTTCTTCGATATCCACAGCGAGATCCTTGATTGCTTCTCAGATATGTTCAAATCGTATTGTTCACCGTGCGTAAACGGACGATCGTCGTACGGTAATCGTTGAACAAGTATACAAAAAAAAAAAAAAGAAAAGAAAGAAAATCGTAGGAAGCTACACGAAAGAGACAACGTGCAAGCAATGCAAATACCTCGAAGGAATATTCGTTCGTGTTGATAACTTATCGACAGTTCTCAACGTTCCATATGTGACAACGTTCAAGTCGTTAGCGTTTATTCGATAAGATGTAATTGCGAGAATGAGTGTTAGTTAATCGCTTTCGAGTTAATTATTTCGGACCGCGGGTTCTCCAAATCGGCCAATGGATTTCGCAGCTTCATCGAGGGTCGACCTACGATATACAGCGTGTCCCGACATCGATCGAAAAATCGAAAGGGGGTGGGGGAGGGGATGATTCTATATAAAAAAACACATCGAAAACGAAGAATAAATGTTTTTCGTAGGGGACTTCGTTTCCGAGATAATTCGATTGAACGATTTTTGCCCGGCGCGCCTGCGCAGTACTCACTGATCTCCGCGCCATACTCCGTTGCACCGTGAATTTTCAAATTCGATTTTTTCGAAAACGAAGCTCCGTGTGAACAAACTTTGTTCTTCGTTTTCGATTTGTTTTTTGGCGTAGAATCGATTACCAGCACTCTGTGTATTTCAACGATATAGAAAGGCCGTCCGTTGCGAGGATAACAGACATCGTTGTGATATCATTCTCGCATAATGCCTGGTACTAAAGGACAGTTCTTACCGTAAGAGAAGTTATTCGAACGAATCGCGTCTTATATGTGTATTGGTTTTTAAATAGTTAAGACGACTGTACTTATATTATAGTTGGTACGTTCGCGAGTATCGCAAGTGGAGAAAGAGTAATTGTTTAATTTCGACACGTGGGTTTTGTGTTAGTGTGTGACGAGGGTGAAGTTTCGGGAGAAACAAGTGTCTTCCATAAATCTTAATGTGTACGAGTAAATCATTCGATGCTTTCTTCAATGTCGAATTGCACATACGCATTATATCGGTGTTGTATACTTATTTATCCAACAAAATATTTAGCCGATGATCGCACTACCATCCGTCCTGTTAACATATTCTATACGTCTGCCTGTGTAACCGTGTATCTATGCTACACTGAGAAAACAATGTTAATCGAAATAACAATTTATCGTTGATTATTTGAATAAGCTAGAAGACGATAGGAAAGTTTTTAAACAGATCTCATCCACGACGCGAACCAGTTTTCTTCGGAATTTAAAACTCTTTCAAACTTCCTTTATAGGACAGTTTTAAAAAAATCGTTATTCGGAGTAAAAATGAAAATCGATACATTTCGCGATTGTTCCGAATTACTGCGGTTATAACCAGAATTCGACATCATAACTGTGTTTAGTCGCACTGTGTTCGTTACTGCATGGTTCTTACTTAATTGTAAATTGAATAACATTTATGGTCCTCGCCGGTACATTTTTTCTCAGTGTACGTCACCTGTTTTGTTTAATCTTTAATTCTGATCGTAATACTTCATAACCTCGTCTCTTGTTTCCCTTCGTTATTTTCTTCGCCTATCGTTCAACCCCTTCGTCCCCCTTCTTCGACAATTTGTTTCGAATCCAATTCTTGGCTGTTCTATCTTTTTTTAATCATAATACATCGCTTCGTACTTAAACTCATAGCATTCCTTAAGGGGGGTAGTCTAAAATCTTCAAAAAATCGATTTCTATATTTTTATTTCATTTTCTGAAAGTACTACACTCTCAAAAATATTTCTATCGCAGAATTAATATAAAATTTTTCCAAATACAGCAATGCTTGGATAACTGCGAGTCACTTTCGATCGGATAAGTGAACAGTAGTCATTCCCACTACTTAGATCGGAGCTTAAATATCGATGAGACAATACATAGTATTCAACGCAAAGATGGAACTTCTTTATACATATTTCTGAAAGCTTTTACTTGTGGAAAATGAAATGAAAAATTAATTTTTTTCGAAATTCTGGGCCCAGAATATCCCCCTTAATACATGGGGTAAATTAACCCTTTTGCAGATCAAAATCACCTCATTGCAATACAAATAAAATTCGATGTAAAGCTATTGTTTAGAAATAAAAATTTTATTGTGAATATACAGTAATACAGAAAGTAATATAAAATTAACTTATTTAACAAATAAATTTATCAGTTGATCGTCTTTTGAATACAAGCTCGATAATTATGAATAAAATCACTAAAAATGACAAAATAATATTGTGTTATTTAACTTTTGAGTCATCCAGAAGATTAATTTAATCTGCAAGAGGGTAAATTAGATTTGAAAAATTTGGGGTGCAAAAGGGGGTTAATTTGGAGTGGAAAACCTGTATTAGCAACACGTTTAAAATCGTGATCTCTAGTATTATAGTGATAATCCAACAGTTTGCCATGATTCTTCTTATGTTCGTTTTATTCCTACATTTGATTTCGCACAAATAAATAATTATGGACGATCGAAAGGAAACCTGTGAAGCGAAATATAGTGAGCGAAATTTCCATAGTTCCATCGATCTTTTCTAGTATAAATAAGGTAACTTCAAGTTTACTTTAAATTATTTTCTATTCTTTTTTTTTCATATAATTTATAGTTGATATCTGCGAGGCATAGTAATTAATAAATACGCCTCAAATTATTTGTTGACATTTTTTCTACGAAGTTTATTGTTTACCTCGTTAGTAAGTACTTTTACGAAATTTATATAGTTCCTGTATTAACTACCATATAATACTATCACTGTTGTGTTGGACGCATTAAAACTAAATTTATAGCATTAAAATAATCGATGATAATTATTTGCAACATTTGTTAATTAGATTTTTAAAATGCATTTTTTTTTTATCGCGTTACGAGAAAAGAATTGCAATTAATTCGAAGAAAAACCCTACGAATAGGCATATTGCTTTAAACATAAAAACGATTACTTGGCAATTGGGTGATTTATATGGAAAACCATGGAAATTTCGTGTCAACTTCTGTTAAAAATATGTGTTCACCCAATTTAAAAAAGAAAAAAACAATAATTTATTTTATTTTTCCGTTAATGGATCTTTCAAATTTTGTGGTCAATTAATAATTCACGAACAATTCAGTGTATAAATTTTCTGCGAGAAAATTATGTGTAACTATAGAAATTTCACATGTGTATGAAAAATTGCTACAAAGTTGCAGGCAATCGACCACTAATCTCATGAAATTGACTATGAAATTAATTATTAGTTATTTCAATATTTTTTTATCCAGTCAGGATTTTGTATATTGAATTTTGATAATTTTCGTTACTTCTTTCTTCGTTCTTTGCTTTTAAAAATTATCAAAATTATTGAATCCTTCTAATCAGGTTTTAAAAAATAACACAATATAGCATGATTAACAAAAGAAAAAATGAACGAAAATTCTACGCGTCACGGGATTCGAACTCGGGACAAAATATTAGTATTCTCCTACGTTTGCCATTTAACCATGCTCACACTTCGTTGCAATTATCTGTTACTTCAATATGTCTGATCAAGTGATTCTCCAAATTTCATACTTACTATTTGCATGATCAACCAGCCATCTACGAACCTGCAAAATATCATTAAAATCGATGGCGATCGGGACTAACATTTTCCTTGTCGGTGTTAAGAGTCTTGTGTAGCTCAATTATTAAAATTAAAGCTTAATAAATGGTTCGAACTATAACTCCGATTATATTCCAAAACTTAAACGGGGGGGGGGCTGGCGAGATCAGAAACGATTGTCTGCGACGTTTGTCGCTTGAAACAAGTTCCAAGTTCCAAATATTGCGAAGGAAATGTAAGTTTTAAGACGAATAACGAATAATCCAGATCCGAAATAAAATATTGCTTGCAGCGGCGGCAGATACGTTTAATGATCCACCGATATATTCGCCTATCTGCAAATGCGAGTGAGCGCCTTGTTTGCGAATTCCCCCCCTCCACCCTCCCCCCCCCCCTGGGTCGTTTTAGCGCAAAAAAAGTAATTTATTATAAAAAGATTTCGTCGTTAAAGTCGCAAAACATCAATTTTTAAACTGCCTAACACAATTTCGTGCCAAGTACAAATAAACGTAGGTTTAATTTTATCAATTTTCTACATTTTTATTTGCCGTACGTTCTTGCGTCTGTAAGGGGTCCAGCGGTATAGTTCTGCCCGGGGAACCCGTAACATCAATTTTTAAAACCGCCTAACACGATTTTGTGGCAAGTACAAATAAACATACGTTTAATTTTTATCAGCGTTTTACATTCTTAATTCCGTAAGTTCTAGCGTAGATAAACGGGGCCCGGCGTTCTGCCCGTGGAACCCATAATTTTGTTAAGACGACCCTGAACCCTCCGCCCCCACCCCCTCTCTCTCTCCTAGTCACTTACACAATGCAAAGTGTCGTTCACTTTCGTACGATCGGGTACGAAGAATACAGAATTGTACAGTGTAGAATAATACCGACATCGTAAAGAAAGAAAGAAAAAAAGAAAGAAAATGGCGTTAACGACGTGTTTTATTTGCCTCGGACGAGAAGGATAGCTCCCCTGTTTATACCCTATTCTAAGAAAGATAGGCTAATAATGCGAATAGTTTTAATAGGAACGGGATGTGCGAAAGCGTGGAGCTTCTCAGTATCGTTAAAAGCTCGCCAATGGTAACGGTTATGCGAATTACAGTATACTTGCGAACGCGAGCACCCCATAAATGGATGCCAAATCCATACGTATATTAATAAACAGAGGAGAAAAGTAATTGGTGGACACGCGTGGGCGTGTGTAATCTGTGTATACGTATGTACTGTACATATACATACACATGTGGGTGAGTGTGAGTGTGTTGTACACATATACATATATGCGTTAGGGTGGTCCTTAGACGATGAGAATAATTTTGTTTCTCCCAACCCCTAGTATCGTTTCGATCTGTAAAAAAATATGTGTAAAAGATGAGTTCTATCCACGAGAACACGCCCCATATTTTACATGTAAAATCCCATAAGCTCCAATCGCTGCTCCAAAATTATCACGGTTAAATTTTTAGGCCACTTGCCCTTTTCTAAGAAAGTCTTTGGTGTTTGGAGTATTCTTTGAATATAACGGTATTCGGTAGTTTTGTTTGAAGAATGTTTGTTAGAATGGGTAAGGAGGAAAGTGATTACGATAATCTTTTGCAATTTGCAATAGAGAGATTTGTTATTAATTTATTACTTGCCATATCGTTAATTGTGTCTAATTAATTTGGAGTGTGTATTCCCTTTTATAGTTCTGGTTTTCGAACCAAACTGATGGTTAACAATGCAAATCTTGCAAAAAATGCTATCGTTTCCGCATAACAAATATTTTAGGGTCTTTTGTTAACAATTCAGGGATTTTGTTTTTTTTTTGTTTGTATTGCTTGCATGCTAGCTTCTGCGCTTCCGTCTGTTGATTTTTCTTCCTAATCTAAAGCTTCGATCACCCTTCACTGGAAACCTATCGATAAGATCGAGAAACGCAGTCGAGAGAATTAATTAACAGATAGCCAGTTTTAGTACTAATTATTTGATGGAACTTCGATCAAGTTCGTAAAGTACTCGTAACACTTCATTTGTTGGGATTGTTAAAGCGATTTACGGGATTGAGAACACTATTTATCGATGAAAATCGAAGGAAAGTGTGAACAGAGGTGGGCAAATTTTATTAGCGAATAACGAATAAAAATTTTAGATCCATTGGTGGATTAATTTCCCGTTTACATTTCGTTCGTAAATTAATAAAGTTAGTTAAACATTAACAGATTCGTTAGACTGACATTCGTGGATCTAGTCGAGGGGAAAAAACTTAGTTTACGAATGATTTAATAATATTTATTCGTTATTCGCGAATAAAAATATTCGATTGGTTAATATCCAATTCTTTTTATTCGTGAATCCATTTATAAATCGGACTGCATTAAGAAATGTTTCCCATCGATTTACGAATGAATTTAAAATGCTTATTCGTTGTTCGTGAATAAAATTGCCCGACTCCGGCCACAAATAACTGAATAATTCCCAGAATACCAGAATACTTCGAGCGACTCGTGGGATTTTACCTGTGAGATAATGTCTGTATTTTACACGTGTTAATTTGCGTGGTTTTTTTTTCTTTTTCTTGGAACCATCACAGGGATCGTAAACAAAAGAAATTCGTATTTGGGAAGAGCAGGGACCGCCCTAATATGCATGCATGACATAAACGAGCATAAAAGTATGCGAAAGAAGCATATGATTTATTTCGTGCGTGCGTATGTGTGTATTGATTGTAAAGCGGCGCGCCTTGGTAATTGACAAGAGAAAATTGCAGAGAAGAATACGACGACGTAATTGCGTATATGAATACATTGACTCTAACGATTTTGTTTTACATTGTCCCAATTAATAAACAGAATGTGCATGTGCCTGTGGTCCTTTGCTTCTATACGATGCCCTTCGAAAATTTTAACGCTTCACACTCCTCGTAGTGGACATAATACCGCTTTGCATTTTGCCTCAGGCTGCGATCCGACGATCATTGTTAACCACTACTTATACAAACATATACATATAACCCCTTATATATACATATACTTATTAATTTCTTCTTCCGTTCTGTCTGTGTGTCTGCACCTTTCGCGGTATAATCGATGTTAACACGATTCATGAGAGAGGAATTAACACGTGTTAATTTGCTGCAACCAAGCCGGTAACGTAATAATTGTTGGATCGTTGCGCCAATTGTTTTTTTCTTTTTCTGTATTTTTTTTTTTTTTATTTTTTTTTTTTTTATTTTCTTGGATTCGATTAAGCTCTTTATCTTCTCCTTTGCCTAACGCCCATCGGTTGTATTATTGCCTCGCTCGCGAACCAAAGTTTTTTAATCGTTTTACTGGCTTTACACGTTGATCGACGCATTTGGGTTTTATCCTCGAACTAACAAGAGTTTTCGAACTCCTGCCTTCCCTTGTGTCAGTTTTTAATCGTTTGTCTATGTTGGTAATGCCTTGGAAATTGTGTGGGACCCCTGGAAAAGGAAGTAACATTTTCTTCGATCCCTACAATTGGCCAGGGATTCAGTCGACCAAATATCCAAGGCATTACCGTCCACCACTAACATCGTTAGGTTTCAAACGAAATTTCGTTGGACAAAGGCAAGAGGGGGAACGAAGCTTTTAAGATCGTGGGTAATACCCCCTTTGACGTGAAATTCGGTATTAAAAACGATCGACCATTCGAAGATAGATGTTAGAACCGAGTTGCAAACAGATTTATTTTGTTTGGATCGTTCGATAGTATTTTCCAAAGGATCGATAGTGAATAGAAAAATGATGGCGGAGCTTGGCAGAATACAACATTGCTGTGAATGACGATGCAAAGGGCGTCTAGTAAAATACCTTAGTTAATAAATGACCGTTGAGTCGAAGTACTCGATATTGATTAATCGTCAGGTGACCTCGACGAATCTGACACGGTTTCCTCTACCTTTCAGGGACCACCAGGATTAGACGGCATGAAGGTGAGCAATCCTCGGGGTGACCCGTTTAATCATACGTTATATTTATGATTTTCGTATCCTCAATTTCTGCGCCCCACGCCACGATGAAATCGTTCGGGCGTAAATTAAACTGGTTGCAAGCTTAACGGTATTATTTATACGGTTATCGAATAGAGCACTGTGTTCGTTATGGTCCTTCATAATTACAGGGTGCACCGGGAGAACTGGGCACGAAGGGAGAAAGGGGGGAGCCTGGACTACCTGTAAGTTTTTTTTATCAGACATTTAAATATTATTTACCGTTGTTGAGGTTTGCAAAAGTTTTCAACGTTCTGATGCGAGATTTATTTGTTAATAGCAAATTCATGGACAGCCATTAGAAAACTGCCATTTTGAGAATTATATTGAAATTGGAGTTTTCAGTTCAAAAATCATTTTTATAAGTTCTCTGATTATTTAGAGAAACACTGAGTATTATAGTAACATTCTGGGCCTTAAGATTCATGGACTGTAATTGTAAAACTGCCATTTTGTGGATTATATTCAAATTGGAGTTTTCTTTTCAAAATTCATTTTTATGAATTTTGTAATTATTTAGAGAAACACTAAACAATATAATAACATTCTAGGCCTTAAGATTCATAGACTGCCATTTTGAGGATTATATTAAAATTGGACTCTTCTTTTCAAAATTCTTTTTTATGAGTTTTTTAATTATTTAGACAGACACTAAACAATACAATAACATTCTGCGCCTTAAAATCGCTGTGAAACAATGTTGGCTGGAAATTGATATTTCAATTTTACAAAAATTAATTTCCAGTACATCAAACAGAATCTACAAAGTTATCTGTAATAATCGCCTATATTCAAACGATGGAATCTTTTGCACTCCCCTAATACTAATAAAACTTATCCGAGCAATTTATAAATATACAGGGTGTTCACCAATCCTGAGAAAAATTTTGATAGGAGATTCTAGAGGCGAAAATAAGACGAAAATCAAGAATATAAATTTGTTGATTGAGGCTTCGTTAAAAAGTTATTAAAAAATTAAAATAAAAAATTTCAAATCATTCACGGAAAAATTATTCTCGGTTACAGGAGTTAATTACAATCATTTTTAGTGAATAGGCGTACCCCCGAAATCCTATCCACTTTCGAGAAAAAAATTCGAGTAGAGCCTAAATTTTTCGACAAAATTAAAAAATTTCAAATCGTTCTAAAAAAATTATTTTTGCTTTCAGGGGTCAATTACAATCATTTCTGGTGAATAGACATATCCCCGAAATCCTATCCACTTTCGAGAAAAAAATTCGAGTAGAGCCTAAATTTTTCGACAAAATTAAAAAATTTCAAATCGTTCTAAAAAAATTATTTTTGTTTTCAGGGGTCAATTACAATCAATTTTGGTGAATAGATATACCCCCGAAATCCTATCCACTTTCGAGCAAAAAATTCGAGTAGAGCCTAAATTTTGCGACAAAATTAAAAAATTTCAAAACGTTCTAAAAAAATTATTTTGGCTTTCAGGGGTCATTTACAATCACTTTTAGTGAATAGATATACCTCTGAAATCCTATCCATTTTCGAGAAAAAAATTCGATTAGAGCCTAAATTCGACAAAATTAAAAAATTTCAAATCGTTCTAAAAAAATTATTTTCAGTTGCGGGGGTCAATTATAATCATTTTTGGTGAATACACATATCCCCGAAATCCTACGTACTTTCGAGAAAAAAATTCTTTACCAAAAATATACTGTGTGGCCGGAAAAGTTTCTATAACTTTTTAACGCAGCCTCGATCAACAAATTAGAATCCTTGATTTTCGTCTTATTTTGGCCTCTAGAATCTCCCATTAAAATTTTTCCCTGAGATGGCCGAACACCCTATATTTATAAGTTTCTGGTAATTGTTCATGACACTATTGATTTCAATAACCTCGAGGGGGTATTCTAATGTGAAATTTTTTAAACTTCCTTTAAAAATTATACAGTGCTGTAACACCTTTTGCAGTAAAATTTACGTTACTTATAGTTTGGCGCGAGCACCAGAAAACTGTCTCGAAATTCTCAGTCGTGTCGAGAAGAATTCTCGTAGCAGAAAGGGTTAAAGAATTGTAACAAAGAACGTTCCGCGTAAATAATTTGTCGAGCCGCCGCGGAACAGCGTAGAGCTCGAATCTGTGCGGTGATCAAAAGTGTTCGATAGGAATAGAGTTATCGAGGAAACAACTCCGCGTACAAAACGATATTCCGAGCGGCTGAAACTTGATTACACTGTCATCGAGATATCAACGAAGCATTTGTTTGTCCCCCAGGGTACTGATGGAATTCCTGGCGCGGAGGTACAGTGGCATTCGATTATCGCTCGTCCCTAGGTGTGACTGCGACAGTCTAACCAGCCCGGGGTAACGACGATACATCTGCCTGATCTACCCCGGGGACTGTCCCAAAATTCGTCTCTTTACTTTCTTTGCACGATAAAGAGGGGCTGAAATTACGCTCTGCGCCTTTCTCCCTCTTTGCACCGAGGATGTTCAAGCACATTTCTTTTCACACGGTTACATGTTCCACGTTAGAAACACATCAGTACACACACCGTCGAGAAACAACCGCAACATAACCGACCCCGATTTTTATTTTCCAGGTTTGTTCGAAATAAGGGACAAGTGTTCTTCCTTGATCGGTGCAACTCGAATTTAAAATCATTACGAAGCCTTTGATATCCAAAATAATAGCAAATTTGTTATTTTACAATATTTCAAATTAAAGTACTTACAATTTTACAAGTATTCCATTGCAAGATGTTTGTAAGTTCAATGTATCGGTCACCGGTGACCACAGGGGGCAATCAACGTGTTAAATTTAATTTATTCAAACAGAAACTTAGTATCAAAACCACAGCTATTCAACGTAAATTGCTGACAAATGCTGTTAGTATCGAAACCCTATAAATCTAGTGTTAAAGGCGAGATGGTTCGTTAATAAGCCTAGAAAGTTTCATAAAAATCGACGTTGGTCCACTTGCAGGTATTCATTGCGAAAAAGTTTGTTTTCAAATATTCTTAAGGACAAATCTTTTTGAACATCTGACCATCTTCATACACGCATTAAATTTCATTCTACTCGATAGTAACATAATAATGTGTCCTGTTTAGCATTTGGAAAGTGCATTGTTCGAAGCACGGATCTCCCAACGCTTATTAATCTCTTCGCTGTGTGACAATTAAATTCGTGTCCAAATTGCGTTCCAATTAGACTATGTTTCACTTCTTCTTCGGCTTCAATTAATTGCAATCGCTTGAAAAAACTACAATATTGCCAAATAAATACAGGATGCTCCGTTTGTTGCGACTGTTCAAACTATTGCACCGCGTCTTTTACGATTGCAAACCTATCGGTGGAAGAAATTGTTCGTTCCGAACTTTTTGTCAACCGAACAGTCATTTAAAATTACAGATTTTAAATAAAATTGCACGTATACCTCTTAAAAATTTTAAAATCACAATTTGTTAAATAAAACTGCTCGTATTAATTAATTGATGTCACAATTTATAGAGTTTAGTACGAATTAGATCGTAAAATACAGAAAACGAATTTCGTATATTCAGATCATTTATGCAAAAATCGATTTTGCAATTTTTCGAGCGAACCATTTTTTCCTCTGCTTGCAACAAAGTAAATGGAGCATTTTGTATACTCGAATGTACGATAACAACTAAAAGAGTTCACAAAATGTTTAAACAAATACTCGGCTGTATGAGAAACGCAGATTACTAACGATAGTAATTCATTTTTCCGATTCACCACACGGTGTAGCTTTTTCCATGCAGCACGGAACATAATACGCATATTGTTTCAATTTTTCAGTTAGATTTACGATATTATAGCAATCTGACCGCACAGTATTGCGTTAAAAATTGTTCAGAAACTTTCTGACAGACTTAAACAGATTCTCGTTGTTTTATATAGCGTGGAGTGGGACGAGGGATACGAATCGAACAGAGGGTAGTTCTACGTGCAAAAATAAGTTAAAAAGAAAGAATACAGTTTTTTCGTTTCGGCTTTCGTTTTCGAGATAATTGAATTTGAAGATTTGTCTGAAACAAGTGAAAGTGCTAAACCATTAGTCCGACGCGTCTGACCGGTAATCGATTTTTCTACTTGTACTCGATGAATTCTCAAAGTCGATTTTTTGGGAAACGAAAGCTCGTACGAAAAAGTTGTATACTACATTTTCGACTCATTGTTACACGCAGAATCACCCTCTGACCTAATTTTACCACCCCGAAATTATAAAAACATTTGAAGATTGAATCTATAGTAACATCAATATTATGAATAATTTTCAAGTTTTTCAAGCGGTACAAAAATATTTCGTGCTGTATGGGTTTGTTTAATGCGTTAAACGCCTAATTTTATCTCACTTTCCAGAAAACGCGTCTGTTTTAAACAAGATACTAGAAGTCCATTTTCAATTAAAATGTTTCGATACGATCCATTTAAAAAGGGAGAAAAGTATTTTGAAGTACCGTATGAAAATTGTAAAGTATTATATTTTAAATTTATCACTCGTGCATGGCGTTTAACGTGTTAATAGGGTCATTTTATAAACATTACTATCTAATATTGATATTCGGAACCTTCCAAAAGTTTGCACGTAAATAACTGCCTAAAGAATTGTACATTTCAAACTTGAAGAGAGAGAGAGAGAGAGAGAGAAAGAGAAGCGCACAGTCCTCTCCGATTTCTGAGTTTCACGTCACCAATGAATGCACGATCAAAATTTAAACCGCGATCACCCAACAGCTAACATGAAAGCGGGCCAGAGTAAGAAGGGTTAATTTCAGGGTTTGGGTTCCCGACACTATTAACGACTTTTATTATGTGAATGTTCTTGAATGACGTAATAAATATTCCGTTAAAAATTTGATTTCAATTCTCTTTAAAAACGACAACTATCAAATCGTGAACATTTCGACAATTTTTTTAATCAAACGTTTCAATCGACGTAAATATATTGAAAAGATAAATAGTAATATTTATAAAATCTTAAGTTTGAAATTTAGGTTTTTCAAAGCAGTTTCGCTCCTTTATGTAACAATTTCGAAATAATTATTTTCCGAGCCTTTTCCAAGCCCTGGTTAACGTTCCCCGGATTACTCGATCCCCGGCACTTAATTGGCTCGCGACTGATTAATTAATTCTCCTCCGCTCAACGATTGGCGATCGCGGTCGCATTCTACTGCCCTTGAAAGGAAGATTTCGCATAAAATACTGCGATGAGAAATACCGTTTCGAAAAAATCGTGCATGCAGAAAAGAAACGAAGCGAGGCATGAACGACACTTAACGAATAAATTCTTTGGCGTACCAATTCCAGGGACCGAACGGAGCGAAAGGTGCTAAAGGCGATTTAGTGAGTATTGACGTAATACGACTATTAGTTTTAAATAATCTGGCAACAAAATTATAGTTCGTACCGGGTGAATTGGCTCCCACACATTTCGCAATTATCTGGTACGCGAGATGTTTTCGCATGTCGGTTTGAAAATATTCTAATTCGCATTTCACGCATCGCCATCATCATTATTATTAACATCCGTAACCCAGTATCTCTCGTCACTCATTGTTTAAATTAAATACTAAACCCGTAGACGATCGTTGCACGAGATATGAACAAAAAAAAAAACAGAAAAAAAGAAAAAAAAAATCGGCAAGATCAGTTCCGACAACTCATTATCGATTTTCCCATTTGAAGCGTTTCTTGTACGAGGTACGGATCAATTGAGGATCAATGTTAGAAAATATACGATAACCTGATCGAACGACGAGCCTAACATAACACGATTTATGCACCACGCATGCAAATCGTACCCTGCGTTTCCACCACTTTCGTAATTTTATACTGTGTTTTTTCTACGTCGTATTTCTCACTGCTCTTTACAGAAAATCGTTGACGATGATCGATGCATTTTCTAACGAGAATTCAGTAGAGATCTCGATTTCACGTATGACAATGTTTCCAAATTTACAAAGCACGGTTGACAAATATTCTATGAGAAAAGCGTGTAACGGAAATTAATTAATCGATTCTGAATACTCTTACGGAACACGTAGTTTAATTTTCAAATATACAAGTAATCTGGGAAAACGCCGTTTTCTGGGTTGCAGGGAATAATAACACACGACAAAGTTTATTAAAATAATCGTCCATTTTGACGGCAACATTTTTTGCGTACAAGTTTCATTTGAAAGGGATCGATTGGAAAACGTTCACGTTTACTCCATATCAAATTGAACCGGGCAAATTTTTTAATAAACGTTGTTAACCGGAACACCGTCGTAACAAGCAACCTCGAAAAACAATTTCCCGAATTATTCACCCGCTTAAAAAGTACACGATCGAAAAATCGACTGTTTCGCATAAAATAATTGCATATAGAATGAAAAATATTAACCATAATCTTTAGTACATAGAATATGGCAAATTTTCGCGTGCTGCCACCAGCGTGTAACGTGCATCAGTTTTCAATAACTTGTTCGAACGTTGTAAACGGTACGAAACGCAGTGATAGATTCCATTTTCTTTTTTTATTTCTTTTTTTTTTTTTTTAATGATTGGAATTCCGTGAAAAAGGACAATCGATTTTATAGCAACTGATTAGATCTTTGATCGGTAAAATGCGGAAAATTCGTCGACGCCTTTGTTGGACGTTTATGCTAAATTGCGTATTCTGCACAACTGAATATTATAGTGCATAGAGAGAGTCTTTCTTGTGCCTGGCCTTTTTTGCACGTTCGCGAAAACGTTTGCCCGTACGACGTTTGCGTCACAGAGAATTCTTGTGTATGAATACAGGGATCGGCAGGGAAACGAGGAAAGAAAGGGGATAAGGGCGCCAAAGGGGATCAGGGCGTTCCAGGACTCGATGCGCCGTGTCCATTGGGTGCTGATGGACTTCCGCTAGGTGACTGCGGATGGAAATCGCCTCAGGTATCTCAATCGTTTCTTTAGATTCAGTTATATTGTTTGTTTTTTACATATAGAGGAAAACGAAGAAGTGTAGAGGTCTATTTCCATGTTTTTTTTAATTTTCTTTTTGAAAATAAATGTTCTCGAAAGGGATCGACATTATTCTTAAAAGCACCACCTATTCGTTTACATATTAATGGTCGTAAGAATACAACGTGAATTATGAATTATTTCAGTAAAGCAAAACTTGAATTTTCTTTGCATAAAGAAGAGTGTATACAAGTTTCCTTTTTTTATTTTCTCATCGAAATCCTTTCAAGAGGGCCGCTACATCGATACTGATCGTTGTATTACTTTGAAAACAAAAGTATGCTGATGATAGCTTCTTTAAGATTAACAATGCGATTTTTGAACAACAGCAAAAAGTAAAGAAATATATATGAACGTCACCTGAAATATCGAATGTATTTATAACTCTCCAATTCACGATTATTCAAAACATATTTCAACGTGACCAATTAGAGTAGGTTATCGAGATTAACAATAGTAATTTTTCAATAAAAGCAAAAACTAAAGAAAAATATATAAACGTCAATTGAAATATAAATTCGAATGTATTTATAAAACTCTAATTCACTATTATTCTAACGATATTTCGACGTGTTGAATAAGTGTAGCTTGCTCGAAATTGACAATTAATAGTGATTTTTCAACAACAGCAAAAAATAAAGAAAATTATATAAACGTTAACTAAAATATCAACTCAAATGTATTTATGAATTTCTAATTCACGATTATTCTAACGATATTTCGACGTGTTGAATAAGAGTAGCTTGCTCGAGATTGACAATTAATGGTGATTTTTCAACAACAGCAAAAGAAGGAACAATTTTATTTTCGATAAACCTAGAGCCCCAAAATAAAATTAGACGCGGGATGCATAATAATTAGCAACGTAAACGATGAGGGATGCAAAGAATTATAAGAACTTAGTAGGTGCAACGATCGGTTGGATTCTCGCATATGCTTAGCAGGGCCTCACTAGCACCTCAGTTCCGGCTGTCGAAGGTCCTGAGCTAGCAGAGACGGATTACGAAGAACCAGGGGAGGAATATGAAGATTATCCGGACTCGAACGGAAATCTAACCGAGCAATAAATGCTCGTTCTGCGCTGCACTAATCATCAACTACTACTACCACCACTACCACTACCACCACCACCACCACCACCAAAACCATCACCGCCGTCGCCCTCATCACTCGTCTCACCTTGCTCTCCCAAACTAACGTGGTCCTGGTAATTGCAAATCCCGTAGACATACTAACTTCGTTTGCACGTTGAGAAAAAGCAGGACGACAAAAATATTTGACGTCTAACAGCTTTTAATTCTCAAAACGTTTAGCAATATACGCTTCTTAGTTGCGTTAACTTCCGCTCTTCTTACGATTAGTTCCGTTACTTTCTTAACCTGCCTCTACTCGCATGCTCTGCCAGCACAATCTCGCACAATCGATGGTATCTCAACACTTTTATGGCCGCATAATTAACACAAAGAATTCTCGACGAACTTCCGACCGACTAGTCTAGTCGTTTCGTGACTCACTGTTAAAGAGTTTGAATCGACTCTGATGTACGTATGTTCAATATATCTCTAAATTCATAGTTCTTTATAATAATATTCGATTCACGTAAATTCATAATTTCGAAACATATAGTTTGCAATGATAATTTATGATACCAACGAGTTTTGTGAATTAATAAAATTGATATTGGTACACTTAAGTTACGCGAGACATCCTGGATGACCAATTTTATCTAGCCCAGAAAGCACACGATCTGAACTATCCGCATGATTATTTATCTATCCGCCTGCTTAATCGCACGATGGAATAACGATCATGATGGCCGACAAATGTATTTTTCTCCCCCCCCCCCCCCAAAAAAAGGAAGTTTCTGTGCGAAAGCACCGTTCTTGTACACGAACAAAGTATCTTTCCGTCTTTGAACATATAAAAAAATCTTTGCTGCTTCAAACTTTGCGAGTCGTGCCAGGGAAAATCATGCGCGTCACGGTCTTTTAATCGTGCTTCCAGGGAAGAAGCAACATTCTTCACGAATGGCTGGAGGAGGAAAAAGTGGAGCAAGAAGAGGATCAACGATACCGTTAAGAAGATATCGCATATTTTCGAGGACCTCCGTGTATATTTCATCGTGAAAGTACGACTCATCCAATTTGACGTGAAAAGAAAAAAAAAAAAAAGAAAAAATAAAAAAAATACCGAGTTATTTAAGAAAAGAAATATATATGTATATTTCGCATATATATATATTTTTTGCATATATACACATACGTATGTGCTAAACTAATCATCTTGTCATCAAGTGTTGTAAATAAGTGTACTTACAGTGTTTAGCGTCCGCAAATAGTGCGTGTACATAAATATTTAGAGCTTATTACCGCAAACACGGTTAGAACAAACATAATTTTACCATTTGTAAACATAAGATTCTCGATAACTTATAAGTTACTTTATTTCTAAGGCAAAGTGAAAGAAACGATGACCGAATTACTGAAGCATTCGCACAACATAGTGAACATAGATACAGAATATTAAGTAATTTATTCGTTGACTAACGTTGTTATAAATAATTCTCGATCTGTGTATACTTTTTACGAAAATATGTTTCCGTGGAGACGCAAGAGTATTATTATAGAAATACCAACAACCGTCGTAATAAACTTTCCTGAGTCACCGATAAATTTTGATGGGGAAAAAAAAAATTAATAAACAAATAAAAAGGACAAAAAAAAAATAAAATATAAATGGAGACATGCAATGACGCAGCAATTCCAGAACTGATTTACTGGCGTAAATACGTTGATAAATGTTACCTAACGAAACGAAATTTTAGAAATATCGTTCTAACGATAGTTCGGTGATTAGGTGAATTTCAATTACTATTAATTTCTTCGTCCTAAGTTACTTTTTATTGAAATGCAACCAAACGCGTTTAAACACGATTATGATATTACGTATTTATACAAGATCGTATTAATTATTATTTTTATCGCATATCACTATTTTAAGATTTCAATCTTTGAATAATTCAAAAATTTGTGAGCGGCAACTTTGGAACTTCGAATATCATTTCCATCGAAAAACCGATGGCAATCGAATTTGTTATAGCGGAATTGTCACTTATAAATAATTATCGAATAAAGCGCGCGGGAGACGATTTTTATACGAATATGAGTTAATAACGCATATCTTTACGTAATTTTCATTTAGATTAATAATAACGCTAGTTGTAAAGCAAAGGAGTAACGTGTACACATTGTCAATATTACCAGGTATTGTAAAATAAAATATAAATGTATATCCGGAATGGTTTGACGTTTTATTCGTGTAGAAAAAAAAAAACAAATGTTCTTAAATCGAAGAAAAATTTATTTATTACTTAACACTTTAATGGCCGCGCGTATCACGCGAAAATCGTTGTCAGTCACCCCTGATATTGAATATAGAATCATAAATGTAACCTCAACAAACGTAACAAATTGAATGTACGATGAAATGGTAACTGATACAGTAGATCACGCACACGTGACAATGGCCGACGTCTGCTGGCTCGCAAAGTCACGTGTACGTGACAGCGGCCGTCAAAGTGTTAACTTTTAAACATATATGTACATTTCAGTTGTAAAAATCAATCAGTTTATTATTAGGATATCAATACCGATCTTCATTTTTCTTCAAGGTATCCGACGATGTTGTTATCCAGGTATTTGAGCACAAGTGTTTCACAAAATACACAATACTATTCTGTACTTTATTACAATCGTTATACAATATAAAAACATAGAAAAAGAATTTGTTACAATTTCAACAATTTGTATTTCTTGAAATACGACTGTACTTTACTTTTTGGATAAGGTTTTGTTGCCAAACAAGTTGGAATGTTTTCAGGTTGTTCGATCCAGAGCTTATGATGGATGTCTTCAGTTTTTAATTTTTCACATAATGCATTTAAACTGGCCTCATCTGGAACCTAATATTACATATGAATATACTATGAATGTCACTGTACTCTGTTTGAAGAACTGTATGCACAATGATACAAATTAATTCACATCCAATACTAATTCCTGGGTATACTTACTTCAAGGACAACTTTATGCATATTATCTAAGTCAGTGAGATAGGCTTGAGTGTCACTGTCACTATAAAAAAGGTGAGTGACAGCAGTGCAGGCATGACATGCTTGAGCTATAATTGCTCCTATGGGCCACCCCATTGTCTTTAAAAGGTCACCCCGTACAGCCACATACTGAATTATGTCATTCATTTCAATGATTTATTTAATTCCCTTAGAATGTAAATAAAATAAATGTAACCTATAATACCAGAAATAAAGGACTAAAAATTGTTTATTTATAAATATTAAATAACAGCTATTTTTTAGCACTTTTGGGAATAAAACAAAAGACAATTAACGCTATAATATACATTTCTTTTTTTGTGTATTTGTTGTAAATGCGTATACAACAAAACGAAGTAGAAAATAAATATATTATTTATAGTAACATATTACAAAAATATAATCCAATAAATATATGTATATATATAACGTGTAGTAGCATAATTAAAAAAATCCGAATAAAATAAAATAAACAGCTTGGGCGATACAAAACGATAATTCTTAATAAATCAATTTGTATTTTTCATAAAAATATTTATATTACCTTTAAAATTGGTCGATGCTTCAACTCGAGGAACTTAAAGGTTAACTGGCATTTCCGTAACTAAACCAACTTTACAAACACTATAAAACAATAAAAATGACAAATTGTTTTTCGAAAACACATAGCACTCTGTCACATTACGTTCAAAACGTGGCACAATGATCTCTAAACACACTTGTTCATACTAGATACCTCTAGATGTAGGTACTCACTACTCAATCCAAGAGCAATGTTACTAGATTTGAGTTACACATTTTCAACCCCTTATCGATCCAGCAATTAATTGGATATATTATTTTAATGTAAAAAAAAGGGAATCAAGTTCGTAAATAAGCGTATTTTATTTACAAATGTTAAAAAATTATTAGTGTGTACGTAGATGATTTTATAATATTATAAATAATGAAGGTGACAAAGATTGAATATGGTTTATTTTGAACCAAGGGGTTTATAATATAAATTAACCCCATTTAAGGCAAAATCAATTAATTCTGAAATGATCTGATAATTTTAAATCGATAAAAGTCGAATCTCACACTTCGAACTATTAATTAACGATATGAGAAATTAAATTTAAATAATATTCGTTTCTTCGTAAAAATTAATTTCCAAACTTGTAATTTAATATGAGAAGGAAGTAATTTTAATAAATTATTTGTAGGAAATAATTAAATTTTGAAGACTTTTAATTTTTCTAAATACCAATACATACAAAATCGAACAGAAATAAATAATTATGTAGAAAATCAATATAAAAAAATGTAACACTTTCGTTCATACGTAATTATCATTGTTCTTATTTCGGATTAATTAGAACTATTAAAGATATTTGTTACTTGCAACTAAAAAAAACTTGATCGCTCTGTCTACGGTACAAATACGTTAATGGTTCGACGAGACGACTATCTTTACTTTTGTAATACTCATTGAAATCTAATCGAACGCTCAACAATTGTAGAGAGACGTCTTCAGCGGATGCAAGCATTATGAGAAATTTCTTCACCCTGTCCTGTAAAAAATAATTTATTTTCATTGTTTTGTAATATATGTATTTTTCCATTTGCTTCAATATGGAAACACCAGTACTGTAAATGATTTCAATTTAAAAAAAAAACGTAAAAAAATTCCATGATGGATTCATCTGCTAATTGCGTGAGGAATTCCTTAATTTGACCGAAAATTAAAACTAAAATTAATTAAAATACTATTAAATTTTTTCCATCACAAAAAATTTATCTCTGTACAAAATATGGAGTTATTCCTATAGAAAATAAATAGGAGAATATGTGTAAATTACGCGTTACCTGATAGGTCCTCGAAAGTAATCTAAGCTGGATGGAGAGAGTATTCAGGTATTTCAAAAACACAGTTTGACGTTTAGTAAATTCTGTGTTACTGGTGTTTGTAGCGTTTAGTCGATTCGATGGACAAGTTACGTTTAACGGAACGTTTTCTTTTAATCTCGTCTCATATTCTTGCGTGGCAAACGTTAGAAACGTTTCTTCGAGGTCCAACAAATCCAAAATTGGACCATATACTGAACGCAAATGGTCCATTAATTCCTATCAAAGGATATTTTAGTTCGACAAAAAACATTTTCATTTCCACTAATCTGTGTATCGGAGTTGACCAAATCCATTCGTGAATTCGTTTGTTAATTAGAATCCACAAAACAGATTTTTAAATGCAATATTCAGATGACCAAAAGCGTGAAAAGAAATTAGTTTACGAATGAATCTACAGTAAAACATAAATATAAAATTACGAGCTAAGTAATTGAATTTGTCGTCGAGCGTTCGTTTATTAAATAATATTAAAGATCATTTTGATCCTTCCTTAACTGTTATCTTATATCGATTAGAAAATTAGTAAAAAAATAAATTATACGAGTATACTTACTTGGGACTTTTCATCGAGTAAAGTACCACGCCTTACTGTGTCTATGAAATAAGTATGCGCTGTAATTATATCGTCCAAAGAGGCTGCTTGGCCTAATTGTTTCGAAAATGCGTCCCAGGAACATTCGATTACCTTAAAATAATGTTCGTAAAAAATGTTCGCGATAAAAATTCTTTAAATGTCAACTATAGGAATGCACTCGTATAATAATTCGTCGAAGTAAGTTGAAATTTATTATTAATTATTATTACTACTATTAAATAATAATAGTTGATATATTTGTTGATATACATATAAGGTTTAGGATAATAGTTGAAATATAAGGTTTCGAAGAATCGTATCGACTTTCATTAATAAACATGGTTCGGTCAAGGAAATATTACGACCCTCTTTAATTCTCAATGTTAAGGATTCTAAAGGAACATTTATGATACTGACTGAATTCTCCTCTATTTTTGAGGATTAGGACTTAGAGACATTTTTACTTGACAAATTAGGATACGGTCATTAAGGAACCTCCAAACTCCACACAGGACTTGGAATCCTTGGAGCTCTTCCTTGCCTCAATAGCAATTGACGTATCGTAGACCCATGACAGCACACAACTACAGACCACCAGGGTCTCTGGGTCTTTGGCTTTCCCCAAAATGTTTATTTAAAAAGGAGCAACGTTCTTGCTCACCCTTGCATGGTGTACATGGACACTGGAATGCAGGGTGGGCGGGAATATTGCAAAGGGCAAGAAACACCCTGCCAAGGTGACGACTTGGAGGATTGGCTTGATCAATCCTCTCACCGGTTAGCGCTACGCGTTTTCATCACCTTGGTAGGGAGAACCGAGGTTAGGTTAAGGGTAATATTAGGCTTTGGGATCAGATTAATTTTGACAGAGTTACGCCTTCACAGTTAGTCTCCGCAGGAATCAATTTCTGCGTATCAGAAGCAACAACTTCTGAGGGTCAAGGTACAAAGATTACCGGTTTTTTCCAAACACCAGTTTGGGTGGTCCTTCGAGCACAAAGGTTAGGAGCACAGAGTGGTTCTGCAATAAGCATCGACCACGAGCAACATTTGAAACAACACGAATATTTGTTTGTGGCCGAAACACTCAGAAATGCGTACACACTCGTAGTAAATAGTAAGTTCTTGGAAATACTACAAACCATTGACCAGAGCATGACGCGTGATTAGGGTAGGTCAACACGATACGAAAGCAAGAGAGAGATTCGACGCGTTGGACGAAGACAGAGATAATACAATTTGAAAGTTCGATCGACATAAACCAAAAACCATTTTTAAAAAGGAAGCTTTGCCGCTTCTAACAGTGGCTCGATAATCTCTATTAACTTTGAAACTCACCTCAAATAGGAAGAAGTACTGCATTTGGTGAACCAAATGAACCATACTGCTCGTGATTAAATGTATGTGAGTTTGGATCGGTAATACTTCTGGCATGTTTCGAAACATCTTCGCCGAGGTAATCTGGCGTTTCCAAATAGCAGACAATATAGATTCCATTCTTTTCGCTCTCCATAAAGCAAAAAATATGGTCTGATATATTTGTCTGCACGGTTCTAGAATCTAAACATTTTAAAAATTGGTTCTACATGTTTTTAAAAAGAATTTTTATTGAGTATAGAATCGTCAAAGATTAAATTTTTACATACCGTTCCGATGGGCCCATCTACATTGTAATCAAGTATAAAAACGTCCCATCCTTTCTCGTTTTCCGAAGGGGCTAATAATCTCACGTCTAATCTTCTGTAAATATCTAAGTCGTCTATCTTCGCACTGGTCGCTCTTATTCCAGTTTTCAAAATTGAAGATATATTGTGTGGGTACAGAGAACTGGCGGGCTTGTCTAATTCTGGTCTGGCAAACAAACACAAGCAAACTGTCACCCTCTTTATAATAATTTACTATCTTTAAATACAGTGGTTTTTAGACGCAACAGGTCTCAGATTTTAACAATTTCTTAATAAAATGAAATTGAAAGCATAGTGATCCATCGAAAATTTATTAAGTCCAAAGACAAAACGCATTATATGTGGATCTCGTTTTGATAGGAACGATCGATATTTGATAAATCTGTATAAATAGCTTACTCTAATAAGTGCATCAGATGTTGAATAAAATGTCCCTGTCCTAACAAAAGATAATCTTTGATCGCGTGCAAATGATCCATAATATGGTACTGTTTCGTTAATATTTCAACTACTCTAGTTGAAGTTTCTTTGAAAGCTGCGTCCATCATTGTTTGCAATCGACCGTCGGGATCCATATCAAATAGGACATCGACTATAAAAAATATAAAAGTTATACGAAGGACAAAATATACAGGGTGTTTCGTAACATGTAGCAAAGGTCGCCGACAAGAAGATGAATCCTGATGGGAATGCAGACGGTTAAAAATTATTTACACGTCTAATAAATATCTCAAAACATTCAAGATATCCTCTACATTTCTTTAAATTGTTTAAATTTATTTTCCCATAGCACTCCTAATGATAATTGAGATTTCTTCGTTTGTAAATAATCTTGTAACGCGTTTAAATTGCCGGTCACCGGTGACCACCATAGTAGTTAACGTGCTAACGCTTTAATTGTTTTGTTTAATCCTCTCTCATGCAGAATCCTATAAGATTTAAATTACATACATATTTGGTCTAATTAAATACAGTCCACCCTCTGCTCCCTTTGGAGCTCATTTTCACATCGACAACCTTTATCTGCTTCAATGGTGAGAGAGGGGCATAAAAACAATGGAAGAAGTTCATATAAAATGGCGTCCTATTTGACCATGTTTCCAAATTATAATCGTTTAAGTACTTCAGTAATTATTAATTAGTATAACTACTTACCTTCGTAAAAACTGCTCGAAATTCGCCGTTTCAGAGTTTTTCAATCTTCCAAAAATTCCAGATGCTTAGCAATCTTGTTATTGGCTTAGTAATTCAACACTGATAATGGACGTTGAATAATTAATTGCTCGAGAAATTTACGTAAGAGCCTGTTAATTTTCCATCAAGGAAAACGTGAAGTTTATATGAACTTTTTTCATTGTTTTCGTGCCAGTTATCGAAGCGGATGGCAGATATTGCGAAACACACTGTATATTTCAATTTTATAGAAAACCTATTATTCGAATTACCTTTGTATTCTTCGCTAAAGTTTTTAAACATTTCCGTATGCTTCCCCTGCCACGGGGTGAAATCTTTGCAAACCTCGTGCAAGAAGTTAATGCTCTTCCCCGTGGCCAAAATCTTTTTAGCCTGCGTGCTCGTGATAAAAGACGGAAGCATGCTGCTTCGAACCTGATACTTTTCGTGCCACATCCGGTCCCTGGTGATGTCCGCGCAGGTTTCGATAAAAAATTCCCTGTACGGATCGTCTAATTCACCATCGGCGATCCATCTTATCAACATATTGTACAATGGATCGCAAACATTTTCCAAAATTCTCCTGACCAGCTTTTTCACGCTTGCGTCACCGTGGTTGCTAAATTCGTGCACGGCGGAAACGAGGGCGCCGCCCTTTTGACCTTGACAGGCCCTCACTATGTTCGCCAGCCATTTTAGGGTGTCTAACGGCTCGTATGCCCATAAGTGCAAATGCGATAGGGTGACTCGATATAATCCTGACTGAGATTGAGCTCTATTACATGTTTAAAAACTATAAAACTACTAAATACATATTTAAATAAAACGGCGCGGCACAGGTTTTCTTCCAAAATAATTCTTTTGCAAATCGAATCAACTTTTCGTGATCAAAAGGGGATCGATCGATGCTTGTAGCGTTAAATAAATTTTTTTTTCATTTTTATTTCAAAATAATCACTTACGATGGCTTGAGGAAACAAATTTTTAGAGGTACAGGTAGCCCTCCTACAACACGGTATCTCATAACACGGTTTCACACAACACAGTATTTTTTAGAAACCTATCTACCATGTTATAGGAAGGTTACCTAAACCTGATTTGCAAAGATTTGGAGAACGAAACCTATAAGGGTACGTCGAGTTCTAGTCACCTGTTTACATCTTCCTGAATGATAGCTATGAATCTATAGTACTCGGACAACTCTGAGTGTAACGCTGCAACGAAACTATCGGCTACCTGGCCACTCGAGGCGGCCGATATCCTTTCCAACCCTCTTTGAACAATATTGTGTAAATAACCGAGTTCGCTCAATCTCAAGGTAGCCTGTTTCCGAGATCTATCGATATTTATCATTGGATCTATTTGGAAACCATAGTTGGAGTCCAGCTTTAATATTTTCCCTTCGATACCTTGAAAGGAATAGATTAGATCCTGAACCAGCACGCTTTCGGAAATGTACTCGTCGCCAAATATTTTGTTGGGGCTCGATAGGAAATCTCTTATGCTCTTTTCTGTGATGTTCGCTGGCATCATTTGCGACGGTGTATACATGTCCGACGTTTGCCCTAAATATAAAAATGGAGATATTGTTATCCAACGATTTACAATTTAATGGAGAAGTTCAATACGAAGAACAATGTTTTCAGATTCCATGAATTTCTTTACCAAGAGCAATATGGTATTGTAGCGTTTGATTCGATAACTAAAAATTATTTTAAAATCCAATCGATTACATACCACTAATGGATGCAACGGACGGAGTAAAACCTAATTTCAAGTCAGGGATAGAGAACATTCTATCCTTTAGTTGTTCTGTCGACTGGCACATGTTCAACAGAAATATTAGGATCCGAGCTCTGTTTTTTAATGGCTGAAGAATTAATGAACGGATATAAACAACAATTCAAAATTCTAAACAAAATAACAATATAATTTTCTTAGAGAGAAACGCTACACAATTCTATACAGCACCCGAAAATACGATCTTGAACTTTTAAGCCCATTTAAGAGTCCATCCCCGTTTTTTGTAGCATCTGTGGCAGTCGTTCGATTGCAAAAAGTAAACAATTTTCTTAAAATTAGAGAATTTACGCTGACGATGTTGAACCTGATTTTAAGATAAATTTTCTTCAGCTAAGTTAACGTTATATAGACGGCAAAAATTTTATAAATAAAAACTGAAATTGAAATTTTAGATTCATTGAAATTGATCAGTCAATTAAAGTCTAAACACCAATTTAAAAAATGTGGTTTGATTTATTTAATTTAATTTTAATATTAATAATATAAATTAAATACAGTTATACTCAGATATAGAAATTGTGTTGAGTTTACTCGCGAAAATAAATTTAAAAAGTTTCTGCGTAAAATTTGTATCATACCCCCACTTTTAGGTCATTATACAATTTATCGAATTGCACTGCATCACAAATGGGCAACTTATCTCTTATGTGACTGGCCACTGTAATTTCATCTTCTCTTAATGTTTCCACTCCTTGAGACGACGATAACAACCCCAGGGAAAACCGCATCCATTTTCTAATTATTTCTGAAATCATTAAGAACATATAAAAATTGAATATGTAATTTATTAAGGTAGCATAGGCTTGCAAATAAAATGCTTAATACAGATTAATTTATACATATTTTTTAATAGTTTCAACCGCCACAGAGTTATAGAAAATCAAACCATACTTAATTTAGTTTTCAAAACAATTACCAAAATATAATTTATTTCTTTTTAATAAATATTAGAATTTTGTGTATGCAAAAACTAGTAGGTGTTAGAATTGTTTTCTCGAAAATTTCATCTTTAATTCTAATCAATCCGTACAAATTGTTTTAAGTACAATTAAAAATAAAATAGAATCTTACCTGGATTCTGTTCACCCCGAATAGAAATAATCATTTTTTGAACGAGATCGCCCACGGTTTCTGCTTCTATTGCGTTCATGTTTGTTTGTGTTTATTATACTAATCGAATCAGCTTTACTTTCACTGGCATTACATGCGAACTTATAACGAGTAGTATTTAAACTATTTAAACGGAAACGAAAAATTAATTGACAGCACTAACCAAAACACACAACCAATTTATGCGCACGCACGAAACTAATCACAAAACAAGAAATAATTAAAAACAGAGAGACTCTCGAGTTAAAGAAACGCAAACTGTCACAAATATGTCCACTCTACCGCCATCTATTAATAAACTAAAAAAGTTTAATTTTAGGTTTCCTCTGGATCAGTGATTTTTAACCCTTTTTCCCTAGGAGTCCATTTTAGCATTTTCATGAACTTTTTTTACGTAATATTTCCTAAATTGACATTTTTTAACATTAGTTAAATCAATAATAACACATCAAATAAAATGAAAATGTGCATAGATTGCTCTAGAAGACAAAAATAAGCTCACGTGGAATAATAGGACGTTTTTAATCCCAATTCTAGTAAATTTTTGGTTCTAAAATTAACGTGTTTATTTCAAGGTCTGCGTCTTCGATCGAGTTTGTATTAGATAGGAAAAGACCAAGTATCCACGTTCAATTTAGCATCGTCGGGATCAAAGTAATTATTAAAAGAGTTCTTCAGTGTTTGCAAGTGTTCGAAAAATTCATTTCTTCAAGATATGCCAAATAAATTTTGCAGTATTCTGGTGTAAAGTCACTATAATTTTTATTTCTACAAACAGGGACTCTTATAAGATGGAAGATAAAGAAGCATACTCCAAAATTGTACTGTATTTGAATGCCTATAACTATCTTCGTTTGAAGTACATCTAATAATTATAAGAAATCTAAGTATCTTAGTTAAATCCACTCATAGAATTTATACTCAAATATTACAGCCTATATTATAAATATTACTACATACGTAATTTTAAGACTAATCGTTGATGAATTTTCAATAAATTAAAAAATTGTATTAAGTTTACGTTTGATGTTATAAATTTATTGTTTTATTATGAATCTACGTTCGGTGTAGATGGTTCTTCCATTTTTGACTCCAAAGAAAACGGCGGAATTCTACAATCAAACGCATATCCATCCTCTCTTTCCATTCTGAACGTACCCCTAAATCAACATTATAGTTATAATGCTGTAGTTTTTAATCAAATACGGAATAATACACAGGGTGTTCGGCCACCCCAGGGAAAAATTTTAATGGGAGATTTCAGAGGCCAAAATAAGACGAAAATCAAGAATATCAATTTCTTGATTGAGGCTTCGTTAAAAAGTTATTAAAAAAATAAATTTAAAAATTTCAAATCATTCTGAAAAAATTATTTTCGGTTGCGGGGATCAATTACAATCATTTTTGGCGAATAAACATAACCTCGAAATCTTACGTACTTTTGAGAAAAAATTTTTTTACCGAAAATATATGTGTGGTCAGAAATGTTACCCTGGAATTGCATGTGTTTGTTTAAAAAATCATAACTTCTGAACGATTGAGCTCTAGAGACCCAGAAAAATACATTGGATGTAAGGTCTACTTGTATATCTCGTCTGTGGCGAGAACTACTATCGTGCGCACGCAGCTGTTCGCAAATTGCCGTTCTACAGACGGAACTTTAAACGTTAATAACCCTTTAACGAAGCCTCAATCAACAAATTGTTATTCTTGATTTTCGTCTTATTTTGGCCTCTGAAATCTCCCATTAAAATTTTTCCCAAGGGTGGCCGAACACCCTGTATACATACCACATATGGCCACTTGCAGCTTGCAAGCTCACGTGACTGCTATATTGAAAAGCAGGTAAAACTGTTGATAAAATGGGTTCTTGGCCAACCACGCCTCTTCCTCTAACAGTTTCCAATGTGCCAGAAAGGCTAAATATTCTCCAGTGCCTTTCACGTAATTGTACGTTCAAATCTCCCAAATTTTCCAAACGAATGCAGTATCGCCACTAAATAATACATATTTCGTTAATTGGAGAACTTTTTGTCACCTAACATAAAAATGAATTTATAGTAGTGCCCACATAAGTGACAACGCTCGGGACCAGTCGCGGTCATTTATGCGAGTATGGTTACTTCTCAGAATTAAACTGAGATAAGGAAAGATGATATGAGTGATATACAATACGACGGCGTCAAGTTACGCTCGACACGCTCGATGTTCGAAGCCGCTTGGCTTCTACGAATTGGTGGGGATAACCGTGGTCACTTATGTGGGCACTACTGTGTTTATACTTAATATATCATATTTATAGTATGTACCCAGTGTACAGCTGTAGTTTGACTTCCTCTGCAACCCATATAAAATGGTATAACAGTGACACGAATATTTTCGGTAGTCTCTTTATGTACATCTGATAACTCCAACCATGGACGATTCTTTTTTTGCCAAGCTTTAAGAGTTTCTTGAGCGATAAAACACGGATCTCGATTAGGCTGGTATATTAAAAATTTATCAACAAGCTCGTGTTGCAACGCAGGATTCTCATTTGTAGTGTAAGGTAAAACATCATCATGGGCAACGTAGTCTAATCCTGGTATCGCAAATAAACTACGACTAGTCTCATGGTTACCCAAAAATGTTACAGCTTCTGTTTGGGCACGCTATATTGCACAGACATAAATAAGATTTAGAAAATGTTGGTTTTCATTTGTGCTTAATGTATTTGCTCTACTCACTATATAAGGGCAATCTCTTTGATCAATTAATACCTGGTAGAATGTATGACTTCTACCTTTGACTTCCTTTTCAACACTGTTAAAGTTTCCATTTGGATTTCTACAATCGAATGTCAGTTGTAATTTAATTATAATATTATATTACAATCGCAAACAATTATCATGCTTCATGCTTACTCTTCTCTTTTATTTGGAATATCTCTATCATAAACTCTTGCTACCCATGGAAATAATATTATACCACGGTACCCAAACACTCTGTGTAAAATTAATTGACCAGTTTCATATTTCCCTTCTAATTTTGGCCTTTCTAATTTCCCAACCTCTGCTAACCTAAAATACAAATATATTTGTATTGTGAGAATGACACAAAATTGATAACTTTTATTTTAAAACAACATGTTCTTAACCCTTTGCACTCCTATGTCTAGTGTGATTCGACGTCAATTTTTATCTCAGGAGCTCCTTCGTCAAGCCCCACTCGACATTTTTTCAAGTCCAAACCAAAGAGATATCATACACTTGAAAATTACAAAATACAACAGTGTAAATAAAACAGATATTTTAACAGGTAAATTTCAAATAAAGCACTGAAAAGCATTGGGAGCTGCTGGTAACAAAATTGAAATATAATTTGGAGTGCAAAGGGTTAAGAGAACAAATTTTCACATTAAACATTTGTTAAATACCTGTGTTATATACATACATATATGTCTACAATTTAAATTAAAAATTGTATTTCAAATTACTTAATTGACATTCCTAAATATACTTTATAAAGAAACGCCAACGTATATTTCATATTCTTACAATAATTATGTTTAATTTCACATGAAATTTACATCACCTGATATGTCTTACGTGAGACAAATAATACTTTTTCGGTAATTTAAGGAGGCAAGATTTCAATTTGTTAGTAACAAAATTTCGAGCAAGTTCCATCCTTTCTTGAAAATAAGTGTTATTGAGTCGAAATATTTAGTTTAGTTCAAACAACACTGAACCGAAAATACATGGTACTGTTTTCTTGACATTTCTGTTAGTTTTTACTATTACGTTTTACTAACGAATGTTATACGTCCTATTTATATATACATATGGTATTTGGACGGATTTTCATGATGAAAGTCACATGATTCTAACTTTGTTTGTATACAGTATCCAACTATAACATTTCTTAGATAGACTTCTCCAGTCTTGTAAGTACATATGTAACCAAAAGTAAAATAATAATGTATATATTAATAATAACTCTGATAGGGGATTTCGTAATTTAATAAATAATAATGTGAATGATATAGTACGATTTTTTGTGGGTAATGGATACAGGCCTTATAAGGATAAGATAACAAGCAAAAAGGGTGGCAATACTGACTTATATAATAAATAAGCTGCAGAATTGTCACAAAATGTTAAAGCTATACCTAAAAATACAATTTTATTTATTTCGTAATTCTGTTTTAGACAACGGTAATTACATAGGTTATTTTATATTACACTAAATTTATAGACATTTACATTTTAAAATAGTAACAATAGTAAACGCAACGCGTTGGTTATAATATAATATCGTCTCAACGTGGGTGCAAATAACTAGGTACCTGTGCAGTTGGGCGCATGGTGATACCGGGATAAACGTGTATAGACGTGTCGATCACGTGTGCGTGGCTGTTAATGCTTATACATACCGTGTAAGTATATAATATTAAGATCATATGTAAATACCGAGATGTTCAAATACTGTTTACAGTGCAATATTACACGAGGACGCGTTACTCGTCCAAGTAAATTTTAATTTACGTATGTAACTAGCCATCCGTCGATTACAAGTGACACATGCTGCTCATTTTGTATATTATTATGTAAAAACATGTGAGAAATAATAACCGTATTGTAGATAATGGCATAGAAAGCAACGCAAAGGCACATTAATAATTGCCCTATGTTGGAATTTCACATTGACTTTTAATAATTCTGTAGAGTTACCTGGAGGTGTGGTGTTTTAAGCAGGTTGCACATATATGCCGTATGCTTTATTTCTACACGCATTACGGGGTACACGTGCACACGGTTGGTGGCATGGTCGGTCATTTGCACACATATGTGTACGCGTGAGCAAGCGTAAATCATCCCTAAGAACGAGGCCCGGACGTGCACTTAAAATCGCGTGGTAGTTGTGATTATCGTGGCAGTTTTATAATTTGAGCTTTTATCGATACGTTACGCTATATTTTATACGGAAAGTATGTTTATGTGATAAGATGTTTTAAATTCTCGTACACCTACATCGGAGTAACGGTACCTAGCGTTCGTCGATCTTTAGCGTGTTCACATTTACACGGGGTAAAATGTTCAAATTTCATATTCTCTGCTCAATTTTATTTTACTTGAATTATTGCGACCTGCAAGCGCTGTGGTATATTTAAGACTTAAATAATACTTTAGGCTAAATATGAATTTTAATATACTTGTATCGAAATTTACCACATTACCATTGTTTTGAACATAACCTTAAATAAACGCATGGTTCGTACTTTTCATTTTGTTAGGCTTATCACTCATTTTTGTATTAATACTTTAAATTACAGGCTAATAGTACAGGACATCGTTATATTCAAATATTTTAAGACATATCATGGAAACAGGATATTTAAATTTTCATGATGAAGAACACTTTACTGATTTCTCATTACCCATGGAGCAGGTAACGCGTTTATTTAATTTTTATAAAAAAGCTAAACAATTGGTGTCCTGTCACTGATAAACTCTTGCTGTCTTTGCGAGTGTTTTCTTGATCTTTTTCTGTTAATCTTCAAAAGTACATTGTGTATATTCATTGTATTTCTCTTGTACCTTTATGCAAACATGGTCATTCTGGAGTTGATTTCCTTGGCTTTCTTCAAATGTATAAAATAATATTTCTGTGTTATTCATCAATGAATTTTCAGTACACTCTCATTTTTGTATAATAAATTTCTGTTAGTTTGATCTAAGAGGTCAAATTAAGCTGTTTATTTTAATTCAGACTTCTGTGTTAAACAGTTCAGTATTTTCCATAATGTCTATCCCTTGTGTAAATGGTTACATGCATGTAAATTACACTTCATAGTTATATAGTAATTAATATGTCATTATTATGTTATATTATCAAGTTGTACCATTTATGAGTATGTTTATTTAATGTTGCACTTGAATTCTAATGCAACAGAGTTTTCATTACATAAATATTTACCTCTGTGCTTGTCCAAGCATGATATATAGACTTTTCTTGCATTTTGCATAAATTAAATTAGATTTATCACTTGTGCTGTTGGTTTGGTATTTTTCAATCTGAAAGAGATGGGAACAAACATCCAAGGAAAAGTTTCATTTACAGTTTTTCAATAATTTATCAGTAATATTTAAGTTAATATTATTTTTACTGGTTTGTGATTGTTATAAGATATATATATATATTTGAGTAATAATACTTTCTAACTTTAACTCATATTAATGTAAGTATTGTAAAATATATCATATTTAACAGAATTTAATGGAGAAACCTCAAGATTTGTTAATGCACATGGTTGAAAATGATTTTGATTATATGGAAACACATCTTGACATTGTAAATTCCGATAGTTTATGGAGCAATGAACATGAGTAAGTAGATTTGTTCTATTGCATTAAATTATCGAAATAAAACGCATTATGTATTTTAGACGTACAGAGGACATGGATGAAATATCAATTTCAGAAATTCCTACAATTTCTAAAATTGATAATATTAAAGAAGATTTTGCAAAAGTTCTTACAGATTGGCAAGAACACATTGGCTATTTACAGGTGACACTAATATTTGTTATTCTTAGGCTGGGGGCACACGCACGTCGCTTCGATGTTCGTGTTCCCCCGGCCTTGTTATTATATTATTTGTTATTTGCAGAGTAAACTTATACAATCTGTTTTTAGGCCACAGACATGGACGAATATATGGATGTAATAGGATTATGCATGAATACTACTGATAAAAAAAGCTTTTGCATTTCAGAAAGTGTATTACAAGATGAACAATCAATACTCACTTTAAAACCTAATTATTTAAAAACAAATCAAAAGCATTTAGAAAAGGAATCTCTTCAAAGCAGTCAGAGTACACAAGAATCAGAAAGCAGTACTAAAGATATAGGTTTATTTAATTTTAAGTTCATATTATTGTCATTTAATTAATAATTATTTCTGTTGCAATAAAAGTTCGCGTTTTTTTTATAGAAGAGATAATAGAACAGAATCCATATCATAAAATAAGTGATTCCATAGAAAGTGGGCATAAAAAAATAGAAGCAGAACCTAAATCACTACCAAAAGAGCCCAAACATACAAAAAAGGAAAATAAACAGAAAAAGAACGTACATAAATGTGATAGCATAGGCATTGATGTCACTACAAATGTATTAGCAAAACAGAAGAAGAATGAAAATTCTATACAGCATAATAACGAATCTATTCCAAATCATTTACCGGGTAAAATATACTGGTTACGTTTAAAGATATTTTAAATAAGAAACCGTATAATTATGTTTGAAGTGATTAATATTTGTTATTACAGTTTTGGAAGCGGGAACCGTAGAAAGTTTACTAGAACAGTTTGAAGCTTCCGAAAATACTGCAATATCATATACATCTCCTAAAATTAGTACAGGATCTGAACAAGATTCACATATTAAACCTACTAAGACTCAACAACGTGTAAAACAGTCCGGAATCACCACAAAAAGATCACAGATTTCAAATCTGCATAAAAATATTAAAGATGCTTTGCCTAAAGGAGTGATTGAAAAGATAAAGGTAATTACCCTAAAAATTAATTATTATAAATTTAAGCAGTAGTCATTATGGCCTGTATAATTTAATTAAAATAGTCGCCTGTGAAAAATCCAAGTTCTATGTCTGGCAAATGATCAAATAAATCGATTCTTTTTTCTCTAAACCGAAAGAAAATCGAACTAATATTGAATATGTTATAATATTCGTGGCTTCTGGGCAAATGTCGTGAAAAGTTCATGAAATTGCAGGCAATCCAGAAGCCACGAATACTAACATTTTCGACCGCGAAAGACTCAAAACACGAATGTTATAATACAATTATATTATATTAGACGTCGGGGCGTAAAAAGCTGATTTCAATAATACCTCCAATGTCGAATGCACAAAGCAGTGGTCGCAGCAATGGAACGCGCATGCAAGATGCGGCTGCAACACTTTCTCGAAATAAGCTTCTGAAAATAGTTAAGTATATGAACGTATTAGTAATGTCTTTTCTTTTTCGAAGAATTGAAAAAATAATACCTCCATTTCCATGACTGATTTACATAAAGGTAAACTAGTAAATGTGCTGGGGAATTAATCTTTAAAACGAACTATTTTGTTAACTGCATTTACCATTCTATCATCGCGTATTTCTGCCAAAGATGAATAAGTTTCCTGTCTCTTAATTCGTTGGACTTCTCGAACATATCGATGATCGAACGTCGGTTCGATATCGACGAACTTCATAGTTTCTAAGCATAGAAAAAGATTAAATAAACGGCTATTTTTGATAGCTGGAAATATCGTCGTTCGAGAATATATCGAACATATTCGAGATCTCGAAGATTTTGGAATCCCGTCCCAATCCCCCAACAAATTCCCATGATAAACGAAAATTATAATGACGATGGACGTATTACTTTTCATTTAACTTTCATAATATGTAAATGGATAAGTTTAATACGTTGACTCGCGAGTATGAATGATTCTTAAACGAATAAAATAAATGAGAAGATCGAAATTGAGAATTATCGCATCAAATAGATCTATGGCAGTCAACGAGTTAAACATAATTTTAATATTATGATGACTATAATTCTTTCACGAAATGTAAACAAATATTTTATTGTGTTAGGTGACAAATAATACTAAAAGTAGAGCGATTGATGGTGGACTAGTCCATTTGGATCATGATTATTGTAGTAGTAGCAATTCCTCCTCCAGTAGTTCAGATAGTAATTCTGAGTTTGAAAGACAATTTAATGGCAGTGAAAAAGCAACTGCATTTAAGGATGATGGCTGGCAACCATCTAATTCCTATACAATAAACGAGAAACAAATAACTTCGTCACATTTGAACAAAACTGTAACAAAAAGGAGAGAATATTCGACTGAAAGCAGTGCAAGTAAAGATAATAGTAGTTTAGAATCAAACAAAATAAGTAATAATAACGAAGAGTCGGGAGTTACAGTATTCAATGATATTCAAGTCGATGGAGAATTGCAAAATGAAACTAAGGAAGAAACGACAGCAGAACAAGAAAATGATCAAAATATTAATAGCTCAAGTAACATATCAAACTGTACTGGCCAAGTTCACAGTGAGACTTTAAATAATTCAACGCAGCAAATGAAGATACGCTCGGCTTTAGCAACAAGCATTTTGCAATTACAACGGGGTGTTTTAAGTAAAACGAAAACTGTAAAAACCGGGAACCAGAAAGCAAAACAAATGGTTTCCGTGTTAAAGAAACCACTTAATATACAAGTACCAGTTTTAATGACTACCTCTAACGAAAGTATAATAACTATTTCTAATGGATTAATGGACAAAGTTCACAACATCATCGTTCAAGACACAGAGCAAAGATTTCCAAAAGAAGAGGAGAAAAAGCTTCCTCGTAGAAAGCTGAATTTAGCAGAATACAGAAGTAGAAGAGAACAAAATCGTAGTGATAACAGTAGAACAAATTCACCGATACAACCTATGGCATTGATATATGTTCATCATGCTTCTACTACAACTGAACCTGTCAAAGACGATCTTGGAAATCTGAATTGGTTGGAAAGGGAAATTGTGTCGGTTTTAAAACCAAAAGCAGACATAGACGAAGAAAAGCTTCGTCCGAAACCAGCCACTTGTAATGTAGAAATACAAACTTATGAAACTGTATTCGAATTTCCTCCAAAGTCTTCGATTAATGTTGACGAAAGGCACGAGGAACAAAGGTAAATGCGACCAAAAAATAGCTTACTTCCATCGAATAAATATTGTTTAACAGATTTTAAAAATTTTCAGAGCTAAACATATTCCAAATACAAGTCAACAGTCTTGTAGGAAACACAGAATTAGTTCTAGTTCAAGCCGGTCTAGATCAAGAAGTAAAAGTAAAAGTAGCAGTAGAAGCAGAAGTAGAAGCAGTAGTAGTCGAAGCAGATCTCGCAAACGAAGCAATACACGTCATCGCAGAATAAGCCATCGTCGTAGCTCTGTCAGTTCAAGTAGTAGTTGGTCGTCTCGTTCACGTTCACGTTCAAATACTAGATCTACTTTCAGTTCAGGATCGAGATACTCACGATCACGTTCTAGATCATCCAGATCGAGGTCGCAGGGTTCCTCTGAATATTCTAGCTGTTCAAGGTACCTATTCACAAAATGTATAAAGGAAAAGGTAAAAAGTATCGTTTGCCTTCGAAAGATACGATAATCACAATTTCAGATCTTCGTCTCGTTCAAATTTCGGAAGAAGTAAATGGTCGAGTCGGCGGAAAAAAGAGAGACGCTATCGTAGAAGTTATGACAGACAGAGACGACATTCCTCGAGTAGTTATCGTAGTTACAGAGATTGGAGAAGGTAAATAATTTGTTCAAGAAATATTGCTTATAATGAAATAGCTCTATTTCGATGAAAGTATACGTAATTTTAATTGTATTAGATCACCGTCGAGTTCATATCGGAAAGCGTATGATACTTGGTACGATAGAGAAAAACAAAGACAAGTGGAAGAACGAAGGGTGATCTATGTCGGTCGTTTAGACGAAGGAATAACTAAAGCTGATTTGCACCGAAGATTTGAAATCTTTGGCCCTGTTGTAGACATTAGTATACATTTCCGCGAACATGGGTAACTTTCGATACTCTATAATTCTTTTGTTTGTTCCTAAAGATGGTAAGAAAAATATCTAAATTTTTCGACATATTTTAGCGACAATTACGGTTTTGTAACATTTGCTTATAAAAATGACGCGTACGAGGCAGTAGAACATGGTAATGATGACCCAAGTTTACCCAGATATGATTTATGTTTCGGTGGACGCCGAGCTTTTTGTAAAGTGAAATATGCTGACCTTGGTAAGAATAATTTATACTTGATTGCTGCATCGTGTGATTAATTTAAGGAGATCGAATATAAAGGTAGCCAAACTTTTTAGATGAAATTAATGCATTAGATGAAAGTTGTTTTCATAGCTATTTAAATAACTTGAATTATTATTATATAAAATTGAATTATTATTGGTATAGATTGCATTATTTATTACGAAATAATAATAATAAAGTTGTACAGTAATTCTTTGGTGAGAAATGAAAATTGGCATCGGCAGTTCGTTTTTATAGAATGTTGAGAGTGAGTGTTGAGCAACATCGACCGTATCGATATGTATCGATATGAGGTTGTTCGACAACAAGTGTCTGAACTCTAAGCGACGATTCTACGCGTAAAAATGGCTACCGTCGGATGTTAATTTAGAGGATAATTTAATTTCTTTAATCTTGTACAACAATTTTATCTTTAGAATTATTCTGCATGGGAATAATTATAGTAAATTTTTAAATATGATACACTATTTCTGGTAGATGGCATGGCAAGCAGCTCTCCTAGTAGTGCGCACATACCACAGACTGGCGAAGATAACACATTCGATCTTTTATTGAAGGAAGCAAAAGCTAAGTTGCGTAAAAGAAAGGTTTGACATATGTACTATTTATTAGTCATAAATGTAATATAAAAACTAGTACAGATGTCGTTATCGATAATATTCCAAACAAAAGCAGACGAAATGGTGTATACTAGTACTCTCCACCAGTTGAAATGTAGTAAGAATTACAACGTGATTGTTACAGAGTGTACATGACTGTTGCGATAATTTTCTGTCATCTGTAAAAAAAATGTACGACTTGACAGCTATATATTTCGAAGTAATCACAAATCAATAGTATTGAAATGTACAGAATGTCCCACTTAAATCTGATATTTTCAATGATAACGAAAGTATTAAATTTCGTTCAATATGAAAGTCTGGTTAGTTAACAATGTATAATTATAATAGGATTATTTTAGAATATTCTCCTTATTTTTATTAATAATTTATTGAAGTCATTACAATATTAATTACGAATTTCGTAAATGATAAACACATAAGTGCGTTAAATAAAACAAAGTGACTGTATTTCAAAAGTGTTTTAACTTGTAAGGTATGAGTTAACATATACAATGTTGCTCAAAACGCAATTTTCACGTAGAGAAGTGAATGTATTTTCGTTACCTTTGGAGGTGCTGTAACTTGCTACAATGACGTGTATGTAGAACATATTAAATTCACAAGAAGAAGGAAGGGGAATCATGATTTTTCGAACGGGCGAATTTTGTTATGGGACCCAGATTATATTATAGGGGTCGATGTCGATCTATTCACCTTTGTAAGAAACATTGGGTATACATTAATAATTTTGTTAAAAAATTGGAAATTTTACATTGTGCTAGTTTTGAAAATAGAAAAAAAACTTCACTCCGTTCTCGATAATATTCGCGGATATAGAGCCTGGTATAAATGGTTCAAGGTATGAAAGTTTTAGTTTCGAATCCGGTATGGACCTTTTGCTTTTTTTTACTTTTAATTTTTATCAAATTGCTCTTTGCTACTCGTCTTTTCAATTTAATATAAAATGTAAAGTGTGAAATAATACAACACTCTTATTAACATCATGTACTTTTTGATTATTTAACATAACTTTATAGTATTAGTTGGCAAACGTAAAAATACACGTATACGATACACACGAAGTTAATAGACGCGCGAATAGTTGTGTAAATACAATATAATGCAAATATATACACATGTTAGTGTGGCCCGCATTGTTATCCCATTTAAATCCCTTTCATTGTGTCACTGAATCGAGATCGTATTGACACAATAAAAGGGCAAAATATTCTAATTTAATAGTTCATCTTATTTCTTATTTTAACAAAACTAAGAATAGTAAGACACCATTGATTTTGGAGGTAACGTCGACTAGCGTGGATAACTTAGTAACAAAATGAAAGGAAGAAATCGTGACACGATGAAAGGATTTAGTTACCAGCGAATCTATGTAGACTATATATAATATAATCGAAATAAAGCTGTTATAACAGCTGGAGAATAGAACTTAAATGACGTTTAAGATTGTTTTGGCATACGGTTTACGAATATGTATAAAGAGAAAAGACAAAGTTCTGGGTGCACCATAATTTTAATAACTTTTTTACAAGTGAACAGGGTGGTACTCCCTTATGTTGTGTTGAAACAAAGAATCGAGTTGCGTTATACGGAATCAAAACTTGTTTAATTTATCATGGAGAGTTGATACTCGATCGATACCGTAAAATTAAATATTAAAATGTTTTAATACTATGTATATGAAGCTGCCGATACTTTTTAAATTTATTATCAAGTTAACACACAACACACACACATGTAAACATAACTCCTATTAGGTATAAATAAATACGTGACACGCAAAAGTAAATATGAAAATAGTATTAATTTCATAATTAACTTAAATATTAATATTTAACATTGTTTCCAACTAGAGAAGCATGAAAAAATACATGTTTGTCAAACTGTTCCGTTAAGTGCTTTCATTATTGCATATCGAGGGAACTAAGATATATTACTGGTAATTGAAGAGAAGAGAAGGGAAGATACGCCTTTGGATTTCACATTTTTTTTTTTGTACGTGAGGAAATCCTCATGGACACTCGCGGGCCCGCCCGAAAGGAGGGCCAGCGGGTAGTGACGGACTCTTATCGGCTAAAACCCCACGGTAACCATCCTCAGGCACCTGGCGAGGGACCGGGAACTCTAGTGAGCCATCGCAAAGTCCCCCGCCGCGTTGTGCCTTTTCAGACCGCATTCCCACTCAACCGCAGATGCCTGGTCACCAGCGCCCGCGGCCCCATGACATGGAACTAAGCAGCCGGCTGCGTGGCCACGTTGGTCGCAGGACTCATCCGCAGCCAACTGGCTAAACTCCGGCCTTACGTAAAACCCACGGCAAATATCCCATGCCCCAGTCCATTCACATACACATTCATACCGATGTTTGGCTGCGGGAGCTTTCTCAGGTTGATGAACTCATCCCTGCATCCCATCCCAGCGGCTGCCCCTTTTTTTTTTTTTTGTACGTGGGGAAATCCTCATGGACACCTCATGGGACACCCGATGGGCGGGCCGGCGGGTAGTGCCGGACTCTTACCGGCTAAAACCCCACGGTGACCATCCTCAAGCGCTTGGCGAGGGACCGGGAACTCTAGTGAGACATCACAGAGTCCCTCGCCGCGCCGTGCCTTTTCAGGCCCTCCCCGGTGAGAGGCACTCCTCCCACCGCATTTCCACTCAACCGCAGGCCCCGTGACATGGGACTAAGCCGCCGGCCGCGGGGCCACGTTGGCCGCAGGACACACCCGCAGCCAACTGGCCAACCTGCGGCCTTAGGTCAAACCCGCGGCAAATATCCCATGCCCCAGTCCACTCACACACACATTCACACGCGCAACGCATTCATACCGGTGTTTGGTCCGCGGGAGCTTTCGCCCCGACATCCGGGATGCCATGCGAGGATGCAGCCACCAGCCTTCTCAGGTTGATGATACCATCCCCGCATCCCATCCCAGCGGCTGCCCCTATCCGCCACCTGGGGACGCGCCACGTAGGGGTTCACCTCCCCTGCCGCCTGGACAACCAAACGTGGCCCAGCGGCTGCCCCTATCCGCCACGTAGGGGTTCACCTTCCCTGCCGCCTGGACAACCAAACGGGTGCGTGGGCTTTTGCATTTCACTATGGACAAGCTGATTCAGGCGCATCATGCGCAAAAATTACAGTAGGTTCTGTAGGTTGCCCAATTTTCAACAACTCGTATCTTCCCACAAGTCCTCAGGCAGGAGTACCAACTCCCTAGGTCAGTTCAAAACGGCTCCAACCGACGCTGCCCAAAACCGATTGGGGGAATCCATCTATTCAATCGTTATTATTCATTTAATGTACAACAATTTTGTAAATAATAGCCGAATGTACAATTATTACAATTATCTACATGGATTTGATATTACATTTTCAAATTAAGAAAGAAAACTTTTGCAAGGAAGGCTGTACTAAATTTATTTGTCAACTTTGTGAAAAAAATATGCTTGCCCAATCAGAGAATCGAGTAAAGGCATTTATTGCATCTGCCAACAAACATGGGATGTGTATATGAGTATACTATATATATTTTATGGTTCATTCCACAATCCACACTTCATTCACGTTTACCAATTCGAGCAACGAATTGCTCCATGATCGGAAGTAAGATTTCTTGTAATTGTAAATTCTATCGCTAAATTTTCTGTATTGAACGCCTTTAAATACTAAGAAAGTGAATGAAATGCCACCCAAAAAGGCACCTGTTCCCAGTAAAAAAGCGGATCAGAAGAAAAAGGAGAAAGTCATTGAGGTATTCAAACATCATAATTTTTACATTGTTAACCTAAAAATACAATATTCCATATTTTGAACGTATTGCACGTGGAGCGCGTATCGTTTCTCCTAGCAGCTTTGTCAGGCATCATTTTATTTATTTTTTCATAGGATAAAACGTTCGGTATAAAAAACAAGAAAGGTGCCAAACAACAGAAATTCATTCAGCAAGTAGAGAAGCAGGTAAAATCAGGTGGTGTTAATCCACGGAAATTAGAAGATCCTAATGTTAAAAAGCTTGAAAAAGAACAAAAATTAAAGGAGCGGAAAGAATTAGCTCTCTTATTTAAGCCTGTGCAAACGCAAAAAATAGAGAAAGGTATTAAATAAAGTAAGGTTTCCGCAGAGATCTAGTTAAGAGAACACGATTGTTGACAATTGTTCAAATGTATTATATTGTTGTGCATTAGTATTTTTGTAGCACTTTTTTATGTACATGTACTTAAAGCACAGAAGGATGGTATATCGATCGTTTGAATTTTCAGGAATCGATCCCAAATCGGTAGTGTGTACAGCTTTTAAACAAGGAACATGTATCAGAGGCGAAAAATGCAAATTTTCTCACGATCTAAGCATAGAAAGAAAAGCAGAGAAACGTTCGTTATACTGTGATAGAAGGGATGATGATAAAGAATCCGATACGATGGATAAGTGGGATGAAGATAAGTTGAAGGAAGTAGTAGAAAAGAAGCATGGTGGTGGTAATCGCCCAACAACCGATATTGTGAGCAAATTGTTTATAATACAGTAGTGCATACTTAAGTGACCACACTTTTGCCGTGATGTTGCAGCTGATTTCGTAAACGTGTTTTTGCGCTGTTTCTAACCGCCAATGGCGACGGTTCTCTGGTGTTCTTTTTTGACTTCTACATATATATGATTTCGAATGCCAACTATTGCATCTCACTCGCACTTATCCTCTTTTCTTATCTCCGTTGAATTCTGAGAAATAAACATGCCCACTTAAACGACCGCGGCCGGTCCCGAGCGTGGACACTTAAGTGGGCACTACTGTAGTTCAATATTCGTTATAATTTTCATATATTTAAAAAAAGGAACAATATCTTGATCCTAGATTTGTAAACATTTTCTGGAAGCTGTAGAAAAATCAAAATACGGATGGTTTTGGGAATGTCCATCTGGACAAAAATGTATTTACAGACACGCGTTACCACCCGGTTTTGTACTGAAAAAGGATAAGAAAAAGGAGGACAAAAAGGACGAAATTTCTTTGGAAGATTTAATCGAAAAAGAACGAGCTAACTTAGGGCCAAATCAAGTATGTGGATCTATTAGTAATTTGTGAAATCATTTATCCAATGATTTAATATAAATTTTTCGAAACGAGCCGTAACGTACTACGTAATTTAATAGACTAAAATAACGCTGGAGACATTTTTGGCATGGAAGAAAAGAAAACTAAAAGAAAAGAAAGAGCAAGCTATTAAAGACGAAGAAAAAAGACGAAACGATTACAAAGCCGGTCGTCAAGTTGGCATATCCGGCAGAGAAATGTTCTATTTTAATCCTGATCTTGCAGCTGGGGATGGTATTTTCATCGTCATTTTATACATTGCAAATTTGTAATGCAACCGCAGTAAAATCTCGAAATATTCCTTAGGTATCGATGATGGAGACGAAGCGATAGATAGTTATGTCCGCGAAGACGATGAAATAGATGAAAGGATGGAATACAGGGAGCTTGATATGGATAGGCTTGCTCTTGAAGCTAGTGAAATTGATAGTATTGGAATAACTGTGGCCAGTGTGAATCGATTAAAAAGTAATGATGTTACGAACAATGAAGATTCTAGTGGTAAATAGAAAATACTTACATAATTTCAGCGTGATATCATCATTATTAGCGATATTAATTTTGTTTTTAATAGTCACTTTAGGTGAGGGTGCAGCCGCGTTAACAATTAATGAGAATCTGTTTATGGAAGAAGATTTAGAAGGTTTAGAAGAGGAACTAGAAGATTTGGATTTAGAAGAGTGATCCAAATATATTGTTTAAATTCTTCCCCTTACTGTGTCTTCATTTATCTGTACTCTTACAATACATATATTAACAGCATATTATTCACATATTCACTAGTTTCAAGTGTGCTGCCTTGTATATTGTTATTTACATTTTATTTGCAAACAGTATATTTACACAACAAATATATACTACGAAGAGCTGGTCTCGTGCAAATCACTTTGGAAGTCTACTGTATTTTAATGTAATTATAATTTTCAATTTATCATGATTAAAAGAATAGTTTATCATTTTTTTATTATATCTGTAAATTGTTTGGCGTTTATTACCTTGTAAGAGTAAAAATGAAATTACGTCGTCGGTAGGAAGTAATTTAAATATTAATGCAAGCAGAACGATTTAGTTTGGACAATGTATTATCTTAGGTAATAGGTAAAATGGCAAGTTTAGTACAGTGACGAGACTAGCAGATGAAACAAAACATATATTTTCACAAAAATATTGTGTAATTACCGAGGACTTTGAATAGTATGGGTAATAAATAATTTATAGAGTTTGGTTTATTTTAGGTCTTACGACGTACGCGTTATATCTATACATGCGGTATGTACGAATAAAAGTAACTATGCAAAACTCTGTTGTATATTACTACAATTGTTTCATAAAGTGTTAGTAACTTAAATAATAATAGCATGCTTTACTACGTGAGACACAATATCATGCATTTTATATTTATTAGCGAAGTTTGGTTATTTTTTTAATAAAAATCCATACTATACATAAATTAGACGAGGTTTCCTTTATTTATTATTGCGGTTCTACATCACATTCAGTAATTTGTATGTCCGTTGCTTGAGACATTGATAATATTCGTCGAGATGCGCGATACTCATAAAATTCGATTTCTGGATGTTTACCTATTAAATATTTATATGCAGTAACAAGTCTGTCAATATTTTGTACCGTTAGAGCCATTGGTCTTGTTTTTGGATCTATATCAGAAAGTTTGAACATCATTTCACCTAATTCGGTTCGGCAATCCAATGGAAATAACGTTCTAGAAAATAAATAGAAATTTCGAATTAGAATTTGAAGATAATTACCCAGAGATCGAAAAGGTTTCGGAAATAACTATTTTATAGAAGTTCTAATCAAAATTCTTTAAGAACAAAAATAATAGCGTTACGAATGAAAAAAGTTCTGCTTTATGTCGGTTATGGTTACCTTACAACAGAACCGTTATATCAATTATATATCGATTCTATATCGATTTCATTATATGAACTATTTTAATTAGTAAATTACTTGATATATATGTATATGTATACATATATCGGTTCTATTAATTTATCCACTATTAATAATGAAATAACTAAACAAATACTCATTTTTTAAACGCGAGTAGAAAAAAAACTATTCAGATTTAAAGAATCGAATGATTCGAGAGTTTCGAGATTTTGTAACGTTCCGAATTTGTGCTACAACCCACTTCGAAAATTAAGTTGTACGTATTTTTATTCAAACATTATTTATTAATCTCAAATAATAGTAAATTTATTCATAAACGTGAAAATAATATAATCTTTATTTAAATACAAATTTATTCGGATAAAACTTTATTTGTTATTCACGAATAACTGATTTATTCGTAAAATCGAAGATTTCAAATAAAAATTTACTCGAATGGCGCTTAACTTTGCTAGGAAATATATTTTTACGTAAATTTTACTTACTCAATGCCTCGTATACTATATTTTTGACGGAAACTAAAAATGTGACGCGTTACTTTTTCGAAAATTTTAAATTCGTGTTGCGTATGTGGAACAGATAGAGGCACAAATGATACAACGCCGACATCAACTTTTGGTTTCGGAAGAAATGCTGTACCTATAATTTAAAAAAAGTACCATTTGCATAGAATAATCTACACATTGACTGTAATTAAAAAATTGTAAATTTTTATGTACCTGGTATAACAAAGTGCAATATTGGGTGTGTCCAAGCCTGTGCCATAACAGATAATCTACATCTTTGTATATTTAATGGTTCAGCCACTAAACGCTCTGCAACTTCTTTTTGAAACGTTAATGTCATTCTAGTTCTTCCATATGCCCAAGGACCTCTTTTCTCGGAAATAGCATGTAGCCACTGTATTATTAAGGGTGTTGATACATTAAATGGTAAATTACCAATTATATAAAGTCTTGGGCTTTTCCCTTCCCAAATTTGTGCCTTTGTTGTAGGAAAAAGATTATCCAAACTTGTTCTCATAATATCATTGTAAATAATATCCATTTTCCCATTAACTGCTGCAAAAGCATCTGCCAACATCTCTAATGTTGGTTTAAATCTTGTGTCTTTTTCTATTACAATTAATTTTTCAGGTTGCTGTCTTAAAATGGATCTGGTTAATCCACCAGGCCCAGGACCAACTTCTAACACATGGCAGTCGGTAAGTTTACCTGTTTTTCTAACTATTTTATCTGATAATTTTTCATTCAAGATAAAGTTTTGTGAAAGACGTTTCATTGCCTGTAGTTTATAGAGTTTCGTTACATTTCGTATAGTTGGAAGAGGCGGTAATCTTAGGGCTTCCATTTTTCCTTGCTTTTATTTAGACTTTAAGAGATGGATACAAACTTATTACACATTGTTTACGATTATCTGATATTTATATAATTTACAATACATTTGTATTAATAACTTGTTTCTTTGTTTCCTTACTGTATATATGATTAATAGATAATATGATTAAATTAAAAAATCTATAAATATTGCAAGTTACTCTTTTGGTGGAACTACTGTTTCAGGTTCATTAAAATCATCTAGGAACGTTTCTTGTTTTACTGCGTATATAGTATAGGAATAAATTCCTATTACACCAAGTACTAAGCCAACAGCAAAAATACTATTACTTTTACGAGTCTTTTGATATTTGATAGCTCTTTTATAATTTATATCTTCTGCTTGCTTTAAAAACAATACTTCAAAAGGTTTTAGTTTCTTCGGATCAACCTTTGGCATAAATTCATTTTCTTTTGGATCTAAACATAAAGTAAATTATTTCAGAAGTAAAAACAATATTACAAACTATTATATAACGAATAGGCTTGCCATTCACCAGCTTGCATTATTACGGTCTTCTTCTTCGTAAGATTTTGCAAACAGTCGAATTGTCTTTGCTAGTATTTTTTCCGTCACTGTTATCAATAAATAAAAATAAGTTTAGAACACATTTTTGTAACCTACAAATATGCACAACATTCGGTGTACTTGATTATTTATTGTTTAACCATCTAAATTTTTATACGTGTATATATACTGTAGAATACAAGGTTTTCTTAATTAATAATCAAATGTTTTAAATCGTAAATTTTAGAATTTCATATAAAAATATTTAAGTCTTCCACGAATTCAAGGAGTATGTTGAAAGAGTAAACAAAACTGTGCTTTTTGGAATCATTATTTTAGAAAGCACGTTAATAAAATTTATTATATATTTACCTTTTGATTACAAAATGAAAAAAACAATATAGATAAATTGCGAGAGATTTGTGATGAATGCGTTAATGCGTTCTTACCTCGTGCAAGCGGTGTTCCTAAAGGCTAGTTTCTATGACTTTTGGAATTTTATCTAGTTACTTTTCAATCTGTTCTTTAACGTCACTATGGGGCCATTTAATATTTTTTTACCATTATTCTTTTAAATTTCACATTGAACAAATAGAAAAAATATGTACGCTAATTGTTTTCAAATATTTCTATTCTGTCAAAAAATTATTCGCGCATTTTGTATAAATTATTATTTGAATGAAATTAATATTTAGTGGGATGTTCCCGTTTTATAATTTCTGGGATTCTTTCTGGGATTCCACTATTGTTTCCAAATAATTGTTGTCTAATTTTTACAATACTTCTCGCGAACTATTTTGTGATTCAGTATTGTTTGAAATAGAATGTTTGTGAATTTTAATGTCTAATATATTACATAAAAACTCTATGGGATTTAAATCGAGGGGAAGATTTTTCTCCGAACCATTGCTTCTGGATATCTTTTAGCTATAGAAATCGGTTCCCATTTCTTTAAATGAGATCGAATAATCCCGAAATTTCTGTCACTTGTCTAAATACTGGGAATAGATTAGTTCAACATCAAATATTTTAGGAAACCGTGAACAGGCAGACGCCATCATTAAATATTTATTTTGCCCTGCAGTCGAGCCAGAGAAGAATAAATGAAAAGATGTTTGAGCTTTTGCAATGTAGAAATTTTTCCTCAATTTCTCTACAAGATATTTGTTAACATTAGATTTACGAAATCCGTCAATTTGTCTGCATTAAGCGGGCTTACAAATTTAACGACATTCATGAATAAAGGGTTTACAAATGCGATAATGCAAAAATTCAATCAATAAATAATAAAATACAGATTCGGGTCAAAATTGATCTATTTTACGTTTCAACGATAATATAGTTAGTCAGAAACGTGATCTGAATTGTTTTTGCATCGGATTCTCAGAAGGACAGAAAACAAATTCTTTGAGTTATCCTGGGATTGTCGACACTGTTTATTATGTTTACATCGACATTTATCGGTAGGTGCGAGTTTGTTTCCACAAATTGACGGTTGTATAAGAAATTGGTATCCGTCCTGATTTGTCGCTACATTTTCTGTATTATTTCAACTGTCTCAAGTATATACTCAAGTATACGAATGTTTATGTTTATAACATTCAACTAATGAAATATATATGTTAAACTGAAGCATTCGATACACATAATATGACACATATAACAAGGGATGGGTCGTAAGACTACGAAAATGAAATTAGAAAATAATTCAACAATATATACCGTTTTCATAATTATATTTATTCCAAACATGTACCAGAAGTCTCTTTTTACATGCCTTTGTTCAGTATCTCATCAATGAACACATGGTTTCCGACTCCATTAGATGCCATGCAGTTTTAAACTGATACCAACACACGATTATGTTTTAGGTCGGTCGTAGATCTCGAGGTTCTAGTCCTGTATTTCGTATTTTCCAAACACTTTTACGCCCATCGCTAGCAAAAATGATTTTACTTTATTCGGAATTGTTTCTATAAATAAACTTTTCGGCGAATTTGAAACGTGCAATTATACTTTTCGTGATAACAAGTGAATGCTCCATAATCTATGAAGACCGTCAAGACTCAAGCCTCTCAAGATCTTCAAGATTCAAGACTTTCAAGACTTTCAAGACTCAAGACTTTCAAGATTCAAGACTTTCAAGACTTTCAAGACTCAAGACTTTCAAGACTCAAGACTTTCAAGACTCAAGACTTTCAAGACTCAAGACTCAAGACTTTTAAGACTCAAGACTTTCAAGACTCAAGACTTTCAAGACCTTCAAGACTCAAGACTTTCAAGACTTTCAAGACCTTCAAGACTCAAGACTTTCAAGACTTTCAAGTCCTTCAGGACCTTTAAGACTCAAGATTTTCAAGACTCAAGACTTTCAAGACCTTCAAGACTCAAGACTTTCAGGACCTTCAAGACCCAAGACTTTCAGGACCTTCAAGACTCAAGACTTTCAAGACCTTCAGCATTTTCAAGACTCAAGACATTTAAGACATTCAAGATATTCAAGACTTTCAAGACACAAGACATTCAAGAATTCGAAGCTTCGAATCTCCAGAGTTTCAAAAACTCTCTGAAGCAGTTGAAACCGAGGACTTGGACAGTCCACGTCGGTAACTCCGCAAATCGTCCACGTGCGTCTCCGGATCCCTCGGGGTCCTCCGTAGGATGTTCCTCCTGCTTCTGCCCGAGTCCCCGCTCCTCCTTACTCGGAGAGGGCGAGTTTGCGCCCTAAGCTGCTCGCGAGCGGAAAGAATAGCCCGCGCGTGGGTTAGAAAAGAGGAAAGACACCGTTCCGTGGTTCGTAGTGGAAGTCACGGCCGCGAGTGGGACGAAAAGGGTTTAAGGAGCGCAAAGGACGCAGGAGTGGGACGACGTGGGCGAAGGATGAAGAAAGGGGGGCTCGAAAGATAGGGTAGTCGAGGCTTTTTCGGCTGGCGCGATAGAGAGAGGGTGGAGGTGACGGGGAGTCGTAAGGAGAGGTGAGCCAGGAGAGGCAGGAGAGCTGGGAGAAACGGGAATCGGAGGGGAGGGTTCGGCTCAGTGGGAGACAGGAGACCCGGGCAGTGCAAGCCGGGCAGCCTGCCCGACGATATCGTCACCGTGGATTCTATTCTTTTTGTTTGATCCGGTCTCCGACGAAAGGTAGCCGCGCGAGTTTTCCTCTGGGCGTCCTTTGCCGCGGGCATGCGCGTCGTCTGTTTTTCCAGCGGAGAAACGCGTCCACGTCCGTGAGAACATATGTGTCCGCGCCCGATCGCCACGGCACGAGACAACAGAAAAAACCAGAAACAACCCTCGCCAGCTGCTTACGTCGACGCGTTCGCTGAAATACGAGCACGTGTGTCCAAACGGAGCGAAAGAACGCACGCACTTCCCCGCTTACAAGTAACAGGTTGGTTATTCCGGCTCTTCTAAACCCCTTAACGCTCGTGCCCGAGGCAGACTCGAGGGCAGACACGGTTTTATAAACGATCCCGACGAATATAATCGTTCTACAGTTTACCACAACAGTACCACGTTATAAATGCAAGGTAGAGAACGCATTGTTACGTGGCCCAGAAGCAAATCCAACGAGGAGAGCTGGTCGTTTTTGGCGATTTTAATTTTTGCAATCGCTTTCGCGCGCTTTTATCGACCTCCCTGATCGTCGTTCCCAGCGTTCGGCCACTTTTGTCGAGCTTTTCGGCCATACGGTCTGCTCCGCTGCACTTTTGCGCGTTCGGACGAGAAGCTTCTGCCCGGCGTGTTCGTTTCTAGAGCCTGGAAACGGGACGATAACGTCCTGTGACGCACGATCGAAAAACGGCGGTTTTTCTTCTTTTTCCGAGCGGATCGGATTCCAGTTAACCGGAATCGATGGCCTCCGCGGGGGGTTCTTTCGTCCTTGGAACGGCGGAGTTAACGTGCACCGGAACCGTGGTTTTCCGTGGGAACCCAGCCACGCATGCAGCGTAATTTCGAGACGGATTTGATACCGTTTTAATCGACCGATTTCCGCCCCTATTTCCTCGATTCCCGGGAACGTTCCATTCTGTGCACGATCTATTCGTCCCTCGATCTCTTCTTGTACGCAAATATCTTCGCTACAGTCAAGGACAACAAGGCGAGGAGCCTTATGTTCTTCTATATTTTATTACAATAAGCGACGAAAGTGTGTAATTGATATATCAGTTAAATTCCACGTTCGATGAACTGTAAATACACCGAGGATTGTACGTAATTTCCGTTTTAAGGGACCATTCTACTTTACAGATAAGAAAAAAAGATGCTTCCTTGTGGTTTTTTTTTTGCGGGCTATTAAAGAGCGATTAATTCTGGGTTTTGTGGATATATTTATTATATATTTAACTATATATACGAATTTTTGCAACGCATAATATCCATTGATTGTGCAGTTTTTGTTGATCAACAAACAACAGTTTTTACGTACAGCGCCCGACTGCGTAGGTAATATTTTGCGAACAAGTTATCCAAAATCCAAAAAACCAAAGATATTTTTAATATACAGGGTGTTCGGACGCCCATGGGAAAAATTATAATAGGAGATTCTAGAGGCAAAAATAAGACGAAAATCAAGAATACCAATTTGCTGATGGAGGCTTTGTAAGAAGTTATTAATTTTTTTCTCGAAAATGCGCCAGGATTTCGGGGGTATGTCTATTCACCAAAAATGATTGTAATTGACATACGATACATATATATTGACATATGATAATTTTCTCAGAATGATTTTTCTGCGAAATTAAAAAATGTCAAATCGTTTTAAAAAAATTATTTTTAGGTGTAGGAGTAAATTTCAACCATTATTGGCGAATAGACATATCCCCGAAATCCTACGCACTTTCGAGAAAAAAATTCAGCAAGAACTGAAATTTTTCTGCGAAATTAAAAAATTTTAAATCGTTCTAAAAAAATTATTTTTAGGTGTAGGAAAAAATTACAATTATTTCTGGTGAATAGACATACCCCCGAAATCTTACGCACTTTCGAGAAAAAAATACAGCAAGAACTGAAATTTTTCTGCGAAATTAAAAAATTTCAAATCGTTCTAAAAAAATTATTTTTAGGTGTAGGAAAAAATTACAATCATTTCTGGTGAATAGACATACCCCCGAAATCTTATGCACTTTCGAGAAAAAAATTCCTTACCGAAAATTTAATGTGAGGCCAGAAATGGTTCCCCGAAATTTCATGTGTATCTTAAAAACATCATAACTCCTGAATGGATTGAAGGATTTTAATGTTACAAAAGGCAAACGACGCGTATTTTGGTGTGGAATATGTAAGAATTCCAAAAATATTCGAAAAGTTGTTCCTTGAACCCGTAAAGTAAGGAAAACCCCATAAAAATATTCCAATTTTCAAATAATCATAACTCCTATAATAGTGAATATATTTCAAAGAAAGTTTTTTCTGAAGTAGAACTCATGTGTACCTACAATAAAGTAATAAACAAAATTTCCGTAGGACATCAAACAGATTTATTAAAAATGAAAAACGAATTTTTAAGAAAAATCGACATGGGCTGAAATTTTTCGACGAAAAACAAATATTTCAAATCGTTCTAAAAAAATTATTTTCAGTTGTGGAGGTTAATTACAATCAATTTTGGCGAATACACATATTCCCGAAATACTGCACACTTTCGAGAAAAAAATTGGTGTGGGTGGACAAATTTTATTAATAATTTTTAACAACTTTTTAACGAAGCCTCAATCAAGAAATTGATATTCTTGATTTTCGTCTTATTTTCGCCACTAGAATCACCCACTAAAGTTTTTCGCAGGGGTGGCCGAACACCCTGTATATAGATGAGTTTGATTATATTATCATGAACTAAGGTATTTTCAAAAAAACGAAAAACGGCACAACGGTAGTTATTTCACGAAAAGGTATTGAATATTTTCATATATTCGGATGCTTTTTGTTAAAGAAAAGTTGTGAAAGAGAATGTAAATATTAGACATTCGATGAATTCCTTCTTGGTCGTAAATCTATACGGAAACCGCGAAAATTAGATGCTATTTGTAGTATATAAATATGTACGTATGCAAAAATAACAAATAAACAAACAGATCAGGCCTTACGAAATGCTGAACATCGAAGGAAACGTGTAAATTCTATTTCAAATTCGATTTTTTCAATACGTGTCGTATCATTTCTGTCTTGTGTCTTGGAACATAGAAAGGGATAGCGAGTTAAAGGAAAAGAAATTCATATTACAATATTATCTCATTTCAAATTTATTCAGTGATAAATAATATGTTACAGAAATACACTCATTTTCACACAAACTTCGTTTCTATTATTTAAATTATATCGTGTTTAGTCTTATAAAGAAGTCTTATAAAAGTCTTTTAAAGGAGTCTGCACGCCACGAAGTAAACGTAACACGGCCGTAAAAATGCCTTTACTGGCGATTAATGGTCGCCTATTAAACGAAATCTAATACGTTCACCAACTTGAATCATTTTGTGGAAGCGCGATCGAAACGATTTTGCCATCCTGAACATTTATCTTCAGGTATGAAAAAAGTTATTACTTAAGTTGGGTTAGGTCTGTAAAATCCAAAGAAAGTTTTTATTTAATTATTTAATTATTATTAAAATTATCCACGGACAGAAACATTTTTTTCAGTCGTGTTTCAGTCGAACTATTGGTAACGAATATCAATAACGAAAAACGAACGATAGCAGGGTAAAGTAGAATAAAATTTTCCTCGTCGATAATTGTTAAAATTTCGTTCACTTGTATATTTTTCTTCATTTTTCTTCTTTTCTTTATCGTCTCTGATTACGATTCGCTGTGTCTGGTTAATTAATTACGGGACGAACGTGGCGGTGGTTTTCCACGCGCATTTTCTTGGGTTTTATCAGCACTGAGAACGCGCTAAAAATTTACTTGATCCTCGATGGGCATTTTCATACGTTTTATGGGTGCGAAAAGTTTACGGTACGTATCGGTGTTACGGGCGAAATCCGATTTTAATTTTCGATACGAAATTTTTAACATGCTCCAAGATTGAATTTTTCCGTGGGGTTTGCGCGCCAAACTCGAATTCTTTATTCGTTACAAACGCATAGCTATCTTTCTTCCAATTTATCTAAGAAATTCGAGTGTTCCTTCAGTGTGTTAAGATCTTTGTTATTTAGTAATCACTAACGTACATATTTCTGCTAAAAAAAATGATGAAAGATGGCCTAAAAATTCGCATTCTACGGTATAATTCCCCCTTAAACGGGCGATGCAGATTCGCGGGGCGTAAACGAGTCGTCGAAAGGCGGTATGGAAATACGGTTCTCATGTCGACAAGAAATTGGTCTGGCACTTCCGTCGAGACGACTCGTTTGCAGGGTATATGTAGTACAGTAAACGAGAACTTCAAATTTACAATCTCGAAAACGCAAGTTAATCCGACTCGACTCAACTTAAGAGCAAACCTCGCGTTCTCATACACTTCTCGCGGAAACTTCGTTACTTCTGTTCCTTTGCTCGCTTCTGTGTCTATGGAGAAGTCTCCGGGCGGATATTCGACGCCATCTCTTTCTCTCTTTCAACGTTTCCGTCGTTCCCTTTCGCCGAAGCAGGGCGACAACTGAGCCGGAACGTTTCCGCCATTGTCTCGAGCAATTCTTCTAAAAGCGTCGCATCGATGACGACGCTAAAAGGAAACTGAAATCTCGCGCCTTACTTCTTTCATCTAATAATAAACAGTGCTGGCTCCTTTCTACCTCGCCGCCCTCGACTGTTCGAATCATATACAGAAACAAATAGGAAGACGATCGTAAAAAAATACTGGTCATCGATTACAATTTATGAAACTCAATTTGCGTTTCTAAATTTACCCCAACGCTGTTCGTACTTCGAAATCTAAGTTTGTCTCGAAAATATTAAACATAAATTCGTTTAACGCTAGATTTACGGGTATTGATCGCACGTATATTTATTGATACTTTTCATGTTGACAATTACCTTAAAATACGATTTTTCTTTTAATTAGAATATGTATTCTTGCCATTGCATCGATCAAATTCAACATAAGTTATTAAAAAATAATATTTACGCGTTCTGCAATTTTAAATATGGAATCAGAAATCCGTCAAATTGACGACATCCGTAAATCTAGTGTTAAACTACGTGTAATAAAAAGGAAACAATGGGTGTTAGAAGTGAGAAAGTAGTTTCTTCCATTACGATCGAACCTTACTTGTTTCACTTAATAATGAACAGTGCAGGCTCCTTTTTGTCTAGCCTTCCTCAGCGTCATAAAATATTCGAATCATGTACGAAAACGAATAGAAAGATAATCGTAAAGATAAAGTTAGTGTTTTCAAATTTACACTAACGCTGTTCTTACTTTGAAATCTGAGTCTGTCTCGAAAATATTAAACA